CGACCTGATGTTCTTTTGCCATCTTCATTTCCTTCTTCTCAACAATAAATTTGTCACGTTGGAAGGCGAAATGAATCACGTCACGACATGAAACTGATCATGTGACAATGTTGACATTGGTCAATGTTTATCGTGAAATTGAACACATTATACCATGAAACTTCCTGTGCTTTAAACACGACATTTTGTGGACATTTCCGGTTGGTCGTAGTGTCTTTAACCCTTTCATGCACCCTGTAACCTGATAACATAATAACCTGTCCACTGTAGTAACCGCTGTCCCTGAAAGGGGTCACGTGCCGATCGATCCAGTGACCGAACGTGACCACCTCACCTCATCATCAAATAGAATGTCGACGTGTTGACTTTTTGGGGTGGATCGTAGTGGCAGCGACGGCGCCCGCGACCTACCTCGAGCTGGCGTCGCGCCTGCGCGACGGGGACGGTGTCGTGGCCGCGGTGGTCATCGGCCAAGCAGTCGCGGCACAAGCAGCAGGCGTCGGCGCGGCAGAAGAGCTCCAGGGGCCACTTGTGGATCTCGCAGGTGCGGCGCTCGATGTCGCGCAGCGGCGCCACCAGACGGTGGTTGTGGAACTTGGCGTTCTCCAGGTGCGGGCGCAGGTGCGCCTCGCAGTACGACACCAAACACGTCAGGCACGACTTGAGCGCCCGCCGCGGACGCTCCATGCACGAGTCGCACACCACCGCGTCCACGTCCGCGTCCAAGACGTCCTCCTCCTCCTCTGTTGCCTCCTCCTGCTGCTGCTGCTGCTCCTCCACTGCACATGCAGACACCGACGAACTGCGGTTACGTGCGGCTCACACCTACGTATGAGGACCTTCTTTATCCTCACTAGTCACATATCACGAGAGAGGCAACACCACTTGATGCATCGAGTCGGGTCCAGGAGGCTACTCTAGCAGGACACGCAGGCACTACTTGGGACGAGTAATGTTACTAGTGCAACGCAGTAGTTTACCAGGAAGGTTTGATTGTGTATTAGTGGCTTAAAACTTGTCGTCATAGTAAAACGGGACTAGTAAGACACGGTTAACCCGAGCAGATGTCAACTAGCGTGCAGTTTTGTCACACTGCTAACAAGTATTTGTCCTACATCAAACCTGTTCTTGTGTGCAGAAATTTACAGGACTGGAAAACAAAAATCAACATTACTCATTCAAAAAAGAAAAGTTGTTCTACTAGTTTATGAAAGTTAGTCACCAGAACCGACAGAGCGTACGAGTATATGAAGATTTAGCTGGACATGAAGGATGTGGAAGAAATGCTTTCTTGCTCCTCACCCAAGTGCTTGTCAGGAGCTTCTTCCGCTTGCGGGCGTCCCTCTGGGACCCCTTCTGAGCCACTTTGGGGCTCTCCCCGGGGCGCTCCTTGGGAGTCTCCTTCGGGACCTCGTTGAGAGGCGGCGTCCCGCTGCTGGGGCTCATCTCGCGCGGGCTCCATGTCGCCGTCTGAGCAGCTGGAGTCGTCTCACTTCTTGACTCGCGAGCGACGACGAGAGCAAACGAGCCGAGAGGCGGCCACGCCTCGGTGGCGTCACTGACAAAAGGGGGGAGCCCGGCCCCCTCGACTCCCACGCGGGCGGAGCCCAAAACTGGCTGCAGACCCACCTGGCTGACAAGATTCCGGCTCGCATTCCTGCACTGGAGTGCAACACGCGCGCACACCCAATCGGCACAAACAAGCTGCCCCACCCGTGCAGGTGTTACAGGAGACAAATTTACTTTCTCTTACATCCTGTTGCACACGTAAACACAACGCACATGGACACCGACCCGTCACTGAGGGCGGGCCGGGACCGCCCACCAAGTTGCCTCGTGCATCGCCCACTTGAAGCTTGAGTCTCAGAAAAGTAAGTTTTATTTTGATACCATTTTTAAATGTTATTTTATCATTGTATAGGAAAGTCCACAAAGTCCTAGTATGTTAACATTTATTTTGGTTACTCATTTGCATACTTTGCATAACGTTGTTGGGTGAAAAGCGAGTTCATGTGACTTCGGCATGCACGGTGTCACATGTTGCTCGAAATACAGCAGACAAAGGAAGACAAGGGGAAATTCAAGAGGAAATCTGGAGCCAGCGCACGAACGGTGTTGAGTTTCAGAGAGTGCGTTGGTGACCAGTGAGTTATGTCATCTTATTAACGTGTCTCTAAGTACATTGTCAGAAGCGGCCATAATATTTCCCACCAAAATGTTTTGTGGGAGCGTTTTTTTGCAAACTTTACCGTAACCACGTTATCGCGTAATGATTATAAAGTTCTTGTCACGTCACGAAGTCCAGTACCGGAAATGGCACTAATTCACTGTCACAATAAGACCGGAAGTGCTTCTTAAATTTTGCTACCTTAACCAATTCACTGTCACAATAAGAGCACAGACCGGAAGTGCTTCTTAAATTTTGCTACCTTAACCACGCTTTGTTTAAAAGTGTCTTAAACTACAGTATATGGTGTACACGCGTTTATTGGCCTATTTTGTGTCTCTATTTCGTAAACAAATATACAACATCCACACCCAAATACATTTGCGTTCAAAGGCCCGACTTTTGAACACAAACGTGTGCCCGCCAATCATTTCCAGTGACAAATGTAGCATCCCTGTTTGAATCAAAGGAGATCTCTTCAATTGATGGTTGATAACTTTTATTGAACAGCCATTGTGTGAGCAAAACACCGTAGGAGCTACAATACAAAATAAATCGTGCAGAAAAATGTTTACCAATGCGGCTTTAGTGCCATTTTCACTGGATGCCAACCAACCGCGTGATGGGCGGAGCGGCCACCATCAGTTCCTGATACTTGTGGAAGAAAAGACGAAGGCGGGAAAAGTAGCCGTCCTCCTGGTACGGAAGATTCTGATCGGCCAGGTAGCGACGCACCACCGGTTTCACCTGACAGGCACGCACATGGAAAGCCCAACTTGTAGCTATCTCACATCTGTTGCTGTGGCGGCGTGCGCTAACCTTGAGACACATGTTGTCAGAGAGAAAGGGGAAGAGGTGGTGCTCCACGTGGCAGCTGATCAGCGAGTGTCCGAAGGTCCAGTCGAGCAGGACGTTGCGCGGGAGGTTGAGGACGCCGTGAGACATCTGCAGCAGGCGCGCCGGCCGAGCACTACGACTGTACATGGCCAAGCCAATGTGCTGACAAACGCAAAAGAACTTTTTTTTTAGGTCACATACCATCAAAATGCAACTTTTCCCACCGTTGAAATCCAGTCACATAAACCACTCATTCATTTTGATGAATATTTACGCCTTTATTGTGACACTAATTGTCTTTTATATTTGCTCAACGTCTTCCAGGCGATCCAAGAAAACACTTTGGCTCCTCACCTGGAAAATGTTGACGTGGATGAAGGGCAGGGAGAACATGGCCCTCGTGGCCAACATGCACAGCCCGGCGCCCAGTGGCGAGCGGAAGCCCGACACGGCCAGCAGAAGCCAGAAGTGCGAGGCCACGCCCAGCAGGATCAGAAGCACCGTCCTCAGCAACAGCACAGCCGACGCGCTTCCCAGTTCAGCTGACGGGTGCAAAAGGCGTCAATTGCGCAACACGTTGATAAAGAACATGTATAATTTGACTAAGACACACACACAGCGTGGCGTACCGACCCAGCGCAGCGAGGGGCGTGATGACGGGCATGGCAAGAGGCGCCACAAAGAGGTAGAGCAGTCGGGGAAGGCGCGGGAACTTCCACACGCTGGAGTCGCCCAGGCCGATCACGTTGGTGTAAGCGTGGTGCAGCTTCAAGTGACCCGCTGCCGTCACATGCGCCGAGAACGCGCCACAGATCTGCTCCGCCGTCAACGACAGCATCAAAAACATCCTCGACTACATCAAATCCATCGCCGGAAGCATTTTGTTTACCATGATGCCGGCTAGCCATTTGTTTTGAAACGACGAGATCGTCATCGACAACGATGAGACAAAAATCAACGCAACAAGACCATCGTCACGGGCAGAAGGAAGAACCTGACCTCGATGAAGAAGAGGGCCCAGAATCGGTTGGCGGCGGGCGACTGACTGAGCGCGCCGTGACTGGCCATGTGGCTCCCCTTCACCGTGATGACGGCGTGGGCCACGCCCATCAGCAGCAGCCCGCACGCGAACCGCAACGCCTCCGACGAACGCAGCAGCAGGAAACCTGCCGCACACAAACTTTGGGTTTGCGTCGTCATGGCAACACTAAGCAACAGGTAACATGGAGGCAAAGCGCCACGGTGAGTCGAAATCAAGTTCACTGGAGGGCAACAAAAGATCAATAAAGCACAAGGCCACGCAAACAGACCAAGAGGAATGGTGAAAGCAAGATAGAAAAAAAAAAGTTCAATGGGGGATAATGAGGGATAGAGGAAGACAGACGGAAAAAGAACACATTTGCTCTTGACCTTCAATCGCATTCCTATCACGTTATTTCATTCCTTCATGGGCGTCTCCGCGGGACGTAGGGGATGACTTACCGGCCGGCAGGCAGACGGCGAAGGCGCCGGCCAAGATGGCGCAGTCGAGGCCCCTCCGCTCCCACCAGCTGCTCGCCTTCACCACCGCCTCCACCTTGCGCTTCAGCTCCTTCATGGCGCTCTCCTCCTCGCCATCCTTGCTCCTCACCTTACTCGCTTCCGCCGTGCCGCCTTCCCCGTCCATGTTGTCTGCCGATTTGTTCCGCAAGAAGCGTGCCGCGCGGTGCAAAGTTCAAAGGTCACGTTGACAACCAGATCAATAAACACCCAACCATGCGCTGATCGTTGCCGTCTTCCCGTCTTCTCTTTCCTGGAACGTCCCACGTTGTTCATTTGAAATAGTTTTATGTGACTTTTTTTTTTTTGGTACCTCAAGTGCAAATGCGGCCCACCTGGTCTTGAGTCAGCATTTACCCGCCTCTCAAACCTTTCCTGTTGTCGAAATAATGTGCTGTGACTTCTGCTTGTTTCTTCACATAAACAACACAACAAAGTGCGAAGAAACACCGGCGGCTTGTTTCACGCCATTTTATTTCACGACTGTTCGGTCTTTTTTTTGCACGTCTTCCTCGTGAAGGCGATGACGAAGAAGTCGTCGTCGTCTTAAAGCTTCTGGATCTCAAAGAGTCGGATGTCGGTGTCGTACCAGATGGGAGGATCCAGGTTGCTACGGCGACCAGAACAACAAGTGAGTCGCGCGCGCGCGCGCACACGAGCAGCGTTGAGCAGACGGGCGGCCGACTCACCGCAAGTAAACCACCCCCCACGTGTATGTGTGGAACCACGACGACGTGACGGCGTTCACTTGGTACTTGCGGATCAGGATGGGGTGCGGCACGGGCAACAGGCCCACTAGGGTCCCGTGCTGGAGGAACTTCAGGATTTCGGACTCATCCGTCAGACCCCTGACCATCGAGAAGAAGTAAAAAGATGTCCGACATCCAAAACGGGAGTGTGTTGCAAATAATTCATGTCCACCCAGAAAATATTTACAATTGAATTCACGAACGTTCATGAATTCACGTGTTTGCTGATTTTTAAAAATAACTATTCTCGATTACCTTTTTTTTTCCATCAAGCCAACGGAATAAAAATACAACTCCTTGTGGCCTGGTGGTCTGAAGAAAATGTGTCGTCGTGAATGGAGGCACTTCATTTTTCAAAACGTCTTCATATATTGGCAAATACAAGAGTAAAAACAAACAAAAAACCCGTTTACATGAAAGTGCACGATTTTAAGCGAGAAGAATGAATCTGGTGTTTTCTGACTCCTTTTACGGCGAATATTTGGCGCCGCCTTGTGGCCTGTTGTCCCCAAGAAAAAGTGTTGTGAGTGGAGATAACTTCTTTTTTCAAAACGTCTTCCTTCACATATTGGCAAAGTAAAAAAAGAAAAAAAAACACATTTAAACGGCAGCACAGTGCAAAAAGGTGACTTGGACTTTTGCCTTACTTGTCGATGCAGATCTTCTCCACCTGTGGCACCAGAACCTGCAGAAGTCGCATGATGGTCTGCAGGGGAAGTTTGGACTTCCACGACAGCACCTGAAATCACAATCAGCCGCCTCAAATGTTGTCCTCGAGGGACACGTTCGATTTTTTAATTTTCCCCATAGCACGATATTGCTGTTGATATAAGAACGCGGACTGACCCAGTCGGGCGTGGGGCTCCAGGGCGACGAAGCCGAGGCCCTGGCTGGGAGGCGAATGCCCCCTTTGCTCTCCTTCTGCGTGCCCTAAAAAAACACCACATTGGGCAATCCTGAGGCTGTGCTGGGCAGAAGACAACCTTCACTCTTTGATGGCCTACAAGAGTGACTATCGGATGATCTCCTGATTTCCTGGAATGGCAAAAAGAGTCGCTCCCGTCGACGGGGCACCATTCAACACTCCATCAACCCGTTTTTGTGGCAGCGGGAACTATGCTGGAGTAAGTTAAGACGTTTCATTCAGACAAACCGGAATGCTTCCAAACGCAGTTGCTCGCCTAATTATCGCAAAGGGATTTTTGAGGGACTCTCTCTTGACTTGCGTACCTCGTGGTCCCTCTCCGAATTGGGCTCGGTGTCGCTGGCCCCGCCCACGACGCTGCACTCGGCGGCAGTCCGCGCGCCGTCCGAATCGACAGCGCCGTTATCACCAACGTGGGACTTCTCGGTGATGTTGTGGATCCCTGACGGAAGAGAGGTCAGAGGTAGGTCTACGAGTACATTCTTTGTCCTCACGAGTAAGACAGCTCTTCTTTCTCCTCTGCAGAGAACGACTTAAGTTCGCGTGGCTCACTGAGGAAGGGGGACAACGTCCACTGAACTGAAGGACAAAATGATTTTTTTGGGGGGCGGGGGGGGGGGGGTAGCCTCCTTATCAAGGACATTGCATAAATACTGAAAGCGTTTTCCTCACAGGTGCGATGTGGATCTGGCGCGGCTTCCAGGGCACCGGCCAGGTCCAACTCCTCCTGTCGGCTTTTCGGGCAGGATTCCGTGCCGGCAGAGTTGTCGTGGGAAGAATCGGCGCTCTTCTTTTTTTTCTTCTTTTTGTGCAGCAGCGCCTTGTTGATGAACGCCGCGTCGGCCTGGAGGTTGGCCAGCCGTTGGAAAAGGCTCCTCCCCCGGATCAGGGAGTACACCAGGTTGCTGTTGCCTGCGAGGAGGGCCAGGGCACAGCGGTTTGGGGTCCGTAAGGGTCTGCTGGCGAGGGGAGGGGGGGGGGGGGTCTGGTGCGATTAAGGTGAGGGTTTGCTGACCGTCAAACTGGTACTGGATGATGTTGTTGAAAACCTCCAGGAGGAAGAAGACGAGCTGGTGGTTGTGCGGGGCCGAGAACAGGAACCACGGCCCGGAGAAAACCTCCAGGAGGTGCAGAAGCTTGTTGGCCGACACCATGGACAAACTCTTCAGGTATGGAGAAACTACCACATGACACGCGGGACACATGATGGAAATGATCGGCAAACGACAGCCAAAGGTCAAACGCGAGACGAGGACATGACGGACCCACAAAAAACACGAGCCGCAGGTGACGGGACACGTGACCGCGCCAAGATGAACAAACGACGGACACGGACGCTCACCGTTGACGATGATGGTGAGCAAACAGTCGAAGAGCGGCTGCAGTCGCCGATGTCCGCACGTCATCATCCTGTGGAAGATCTGCGGAGGACGTTGCAAGCAGTCAAAGCCCCCCTCGGGCTCCCGTGTTTCTTTGGCGCGCGTGCGGCGGCGGCGGCGTTACCACGAGCAGCAGGTCGGCGTGCGTCCCGCTGAAAACTGGGACGTCCATGGGGACGCGCAGCGTGAAGGGTTTGTTGAGGCGTACGCCAAAGTTCCTCTCGCCGCTCAATAGCAGCAGGATGAAGACGCCCATGTGGACCAGGCCCGCACCGGCTGCCAACGACACTCTGGGTGTAAACGGGACTTGGGGGCTTACCCGGGGGGGAGGTCGGGGTGAGTCGAGCCACTCACAGGGATCGGCGCGGGCTTCGTTGAGGAAGAACAGAATGGGGACCAGCACGTCCAGAACGTCGCTGCTCTTCAGCACGAAGAAGAGGAATTTCTGTGCAAGCACGCAGGCGTTAGAATTATTACTGTGGTTAGGTTAGCATTAGCATTTTAGCTAATATTCGCATTTCCCTTGGGGTTAGCCTGACCATTAGAGTTAGAGTTAGCTTTAGCATGAGCACGACATTGAGGACTGGCATTATCGTTCCCCACGGACGGACGGAGGCTTTTGGGCGTCCGTTCACCTTGTTGAAGTCGCAGAGTTTCCAAAACAGGACGAGCAGTTCCTGGTGGAAGGTGATCTTCTTGGTGGAGTTAGGCAGGTAGGTCTGCACCAGTGGGTTGTTGAGGAGCCGGCTCACACCTTTCAGGATGAAGCTCAAGTCCTAAAATACAAAAAATAAAATAAAATAAAATGAAAAAATATCACCGTACGGGCAGCAGTGGAAATGAATCTCGCCTCCTCACCTCTTCTCGGTGGATCCTGGACAGGAAGTTGACAAACTGGTTCTCAGGACCACCCAACTGCAGGGCAAGAGGGTGTCAAAACATTCATTCGGTTTCCCCGATTGGAAAAAAAGAAAATAAAACACAACTTTGGCTGTGTTGGAAATCATTCACTGATTCCTGAATCGCTTTTGACTGATTTTTTATATTGTGGACTTTACATTTCAGTCAAAGCATTTGATTTGATATTCTAAAATTTATACTTTATTTTGGATCGGTCAAGCCCCCCTTTAGCGCAGAGAAAGAAAACAAAACATCCTTGAGCCGTGCCTGTTCCCAACACGGCCCTCGTGTCATCCTCACATCGGTCTCGTCCTCGGCGGCGGCGCGGGGTGGGCGCTGCTCCAGCGCGACCATGAGAACCTGAAGCGCTTGTTCCACCAGCAGCTGGCGCTGGTCTGACATGAGCAAGTGGTCGTAAGGGAAGCCCCATCCTGAAGGCTGGTAGGCGCACACCACGTTCAGCAGCGACGTGAATAGCGGGAGCGCGTGTCTGCGCGTGCACGCACACACACACGCACACACACACACACACACACACACGCACTATTGAAATGCTCTCACACACGATGAAAACGCTCACACTAATACCTGTTGGCGGCGGAGCAGAAGAAGAGCACCCAGGGGTTGACGCGATGCTCGGCGGGCACCAGGTAAAGGACCTCGGAGAAGCACGTCAGCAGCAGCTTGAGAAGCTCCGCCCTCCAAAGCACAAAAACCACCTTGACGCAAAAAGCACGGTAACCAGATGCGGCGGGGGGGGGGGCCTCGCTCACCTGTTTCTGTCGTGGCTGGAGTTGAGCGGCGGCGATTGGGAGAAGCCCACGCCCGCCTCCCAGATCAACTCGCAGCTGTCCACCGCGGCGTCCGCGTCTCCAACAACTTCCTGTGGCCCACAATGCGCGCTGTTAGCAGCTAGCATGAGTGCCCAGGCCTATTTGTTCTGGAATCATTCAAATGTCGTTTATCCACGCGGAATATTTGAGAATAATTGAAATGCTTTGTGTCCATCAGGAATATTCTGGAAGTTTTGTGTGTTTGGTTGCAATATTCTGGAATAACTGCAATGTTGTACATCCAGGAGGAATGTGGAATATTGTGTTATCTCACGAGTGAACATCAGGCTGCCTTCCGCACAGTGTTGTTGTTGGGGGTGGGGGGGGTTGCCCCCACCCTGCGCACCCCCTTCTTGTGGACTCTTGGTGTGTTTACTCAGGCTGTCCAGTTTCCCCGCCTGCTAGTCAAACATGGCCGCTCCAAACTGACTACGGAAGAAGCTAATGAGATAACAGCTAAGCTCACAAGTAGTTTAGTGGTGTGAGCAAACAACACGCCTTGTTAGCTTTAGCTGCAGGGTGTACATAAAATCAACAGTGAGAAGCGGCAATGTTTTTGCTTGAAAGCTATGGTTAGCCGAGCTTCTAGAATGCAATGCATTGTGGGTAGCGGAGGATGACTCGCCTGCCCGCCCCGCTTACGGCCCTGGACGGTGAAGTCGGGACAGAAGAGAAGGTCGGCGATGGCCAGGAGGAGCGACTCAGCCAGGGGGCGAGCGCCATCGGGGTCGTCATCGTCGTCGTTGTTGTTGTCGTTGTCGTGGCAACACTGCAGGAAACATGAAGTGAAGGCAAAGGAGACGTTGGGATTGGCCAACTGTAATGTGTGACTTGTGACTGGAAGAGTTCCTTCATGCAAAGAGGATGTCAGATTTTTGGGGGGTGCGGGAGAGCCACAATGGAACCTGTGTTTGGACTGTAACAAGCAGGTAACTAGAGAACAAGCGATGGGTGGGGGGGGCAGTAAGAGGGGGAGTGATAAGGGGACTAAAGGAGTGTGAATGGGTGTTAAGGGAGGAACTAAGGGGCTATGGGAGGAGGTGTGAAGGGTAAGTCCGGATGCTCAGCAAGGGTGGCATCAGGGAATGGAGCGACTGAGCTGAGCGGCTGGGTGCCTACTTGCTTACGGGCAGCAGGCAGGCCGGCCCACATGAAGCCTCGCCAGTCGGCGTCCTCGAACACGAAGGGCAGCACGCGGGTCAACAGACGGGTGCAGTTTAGGACGGAGACGCGCTCTCGCTCCGACGGGCAGCCACGATCCGCCGCCCGGCCCAACTTCTCCACCGCCTGAGCATTGAATAACAATTAAAAGCTATTTTACGCATGGTGTATTTTTAAAGTTAATCGTGACACAAATGGGTTTTCAGAATTTTAATTAATAACCCAAACAAAAAAAAAAAACACACACCTTGTAGCACAATGTGGCCAGGTTGGATGGAGATTCCTCCCTCAGCGCACGGATCTCAGCCGGCGGAACCAAGGCGAAGATGTCCTGGACCGACATGGACGGCTGGGCCCAGAACTGGTCCCAGAAGACCTCGTCCGATGCTTCCACGGCCTACGCAGCACCCGTCAATCAACACGTTTAGTCACGTGTCATATACCCTCGTTTGGGGTAAAACACAACTCTAAAGTCGGCAAAAAGTGTGTTGTTCTGAGACGAGAGTGTGTGCGTGTGCGCGTGATCAAGTCGAATGAGGGGAAACAGTTGACTGATTCGCGCCTGTCAATCAACATCATTTATTTGTCAAATTTGTTGTTTGTCTGACAGCTGCAAGTCAGTCACGTGTCATACAGTATGTTTACGTTTTTATTTGCGAAAGCTTCACTTGGGTGGACCAAAAATGATTGCGTGTGTGTTGTCGTTGTTGTGCCATCTGTTGGCGTCGTGTGGCTGCCCTACGGTAGCCGCCCCCCCCGTGACCCGGTTCGGTCCGTTTGTCTGGCCTGACCTGAGTGGAGCTGGTGAGCTGGATTACAGCCTTCCTGAAGTGAAGTTTGCTGTCACCGCTGCCCATGTTTCGTCTCGTGTCGTCGGTGCCGGTTCGGCTCCTGCAGGTGTCTGCAGCAACTTGCAGCAGGTCCGCTGATGATGAGGAGGCGTTCGCGTCCTGCTCGGACACTTGAATACGCTCTCTCGGCCGTCCCGTGTCTTGCTCAACTCAACTTTATTACATCGCGCTTTCACAACAGCTACCACACTGCTTGGTTGTTGTGTTTTTCGTTTTTTGAGGTGGTAACCGCGCTAACTGCGGCAGTCACCACCGTACCATTTAATTCATGACTTAATATCCTGATAGATATTTGCTTTACAGCGTGTTTGTTTTTTTCTTTCAGTAATGTGTCCTTCAAATGTACGATCAAAAAATAAACAACCATGCCTGACTGTGTCTTAATAAAAAGATAATATAGACATTTAAATGGAAAATATATCACATTGGGAAAGTTTTTATCAAGACTTCTTCAGGAAACTTTTCAATTCCCACTGTCCTGGAAGGTAGCACCATACCAGAGCAGGAACTCAGCTGGAAGACTTCCGGGTTTGAAAAGTTTCATCCGCTTTTCGATGACGTCACACTCCGCTGCCGTGACGAAGGCGTCCCCTGGCAGTCACGTGATCCAAATATGACCGTTTTGGCGTTTATTATCGGAAAAGTGACGTCGCCAGTTCGTAAGAGTGACAGGCGTGACTAAGTGGCCTACCCGTGTCATTGTGTAGTGCTCATAAAGTCCAAAATATAGGGGTAAATGTTTGGATTTTTTTTTGTGAGATTGTTGAGCTTTTTTAACATCAAGCGTTTTAGACTGTCCCTCTTTCGAAATGCACGTGGGTTTGGGCGACTACTAAAGTGTGTGCATGTGTCTCTGCGCATTTCAACTGCTTGGGAGGCTCCTCTCGTGTCTCCGCCCACACGCTCGGTGGATATCGAGGACGCGATGCGGCGCGCTGTGGCGTTGGTCCTCCTGACGTTGACGTTTTGCTCCTCATCAGCAGGTGGCGCCATCTTTAGCGGCCAGGTGCGTCTCTCCCTTCAGCGCTTATCACCTGGCTTTTTCATGAAAATGTCACTTTTCCCCAACTTCAGGCCGAGCAGCCGAGAAGACGGCTGCGGCGGCAGACGAATTTGTCATCGTCGTGGAGCTCAGGTGAGCCGGCGTCAAGCTCGGACACGTTTGAGCACAGGAATGAGCCCGATAGGCTGTGGTTCACCGTGGCGTGCTGTGATCCGTTGACAGGAATCTGCCAGAACGGGGGAAGGTCGGTCCCCAGCCTGACGACGGGCCGACACATGTTCTGCTTGTGTCCCAACGGTTTTGAGGGGACCTTCTGCCAAACGGGTGTGAAAGCCACAACTGCTCCACAAGGACCCTCATTTGTCCACCAAGGTCCGGTACACACATCGAGACAATCGGGCTGATTGTGGTGATGGTGCGGTCTGAGATGCGTTCACACGGGAGTTGTCTTGACCACAAAATCTGACCTGGCTTGGGCTGACAAATCCACAGATGGGACGCGGCCTGCGTTTCTTCAACTTTTGTCAATGAGCTGACTTGAGCTGGATGACAACGCCTCTCTATTCGTGTCTAAAGTGGCGTTTCTCCTCGCAGCTAGCGGCGCCGATTGCTACGAAGGCGTCGGGATTTACTACCGAGGGTTCCGCTCCCAGTCGGAAAGCGGTCGCCGGTGTGAGCCCTGGGACGCCGACACCAGGCTTCGCTACCTGAGCTTGGACGTGTATGGCGGCAGACACAACTACTGCAGGTCCCCGGCACAGAAACGCTGTTTCCACGGCAACGCCACACTTCCACATTACCCACTGCAAGAGCAATGAAAGGTCTAGAACAGGGGGTGTGCACGCCCCTGAGTGCGATAAAGGCAAGATGGCGGCTTGAGTATTTCAGGTTGCACACGCCTGATCCAGAAGGGCGTTCAAAAAAAAAACGAACCATCCAGCTAAGACGAGTGTTGCGCAATGGTGCGGGTCCATGAGAAATGTTGCGGACTAACTCGCGTGTGGCGCCTCCATCAGGAACGTGCGCTTCAAGCGTCGGCCGTGGTGCCACGTGTGGAAGGAGCAGCACATGGTTTGGGAATATTGCGACATCCCTCGATGTGCCTCATGTAAGTCACGCTCTCGTTTTTTGCAGCTTTTCAGCAAGGAACTGGCCGCAGCGCCACCTGTTGGCGCACAGTTGTTGTTGTCGTTCACCGCACACAAATATTCCGGAATATTCTCCGGACTATTTGAGTGAAAACTTTTTTGTGCTCTCGTAGCCCAATCGCTCGTGTTGGCAATGACCACCAGAGCCCCACAGACCACACCCACATGTAAGCCACACCTCCTCATCTGCATGTGTGTGTTTTAATGTCTGTGTTGCTGCAACATTGCGGAATATCCCTGAGCCTGCTTGCATTGTTGTAGTGCCACCAACCACTCAGCCACCACGGACCACCCCGCTGGGTAAGCTCCGCCCCCTTAATTATGCACGTGCGTGTACGTCAACTAATGTTTTTGTGTTTACGTGTGCGACGCATGTGTGCACGTGTCTGCATCGACCCCGTCCCGCCAGCAGTGACCAACACGTGTGGGCGTCGTTCGCGCCGGAAGCAGATGCGGATCGTGGGCGGTTCGGTGGCCCCGGTGGAGTCGCACCCGTGGGTGGCGGCCATCTTGTGGCGCGGCAGGTCAAAAGACGTGGTCTTCCGCTGCGGGGGGAGTTTGATCTCCAGCTGCTGGGTCATGACCGCCGCTCATTGCTTCCCTGATGGGTAGGCTGTGGGCGACGTCGCTCCCCGTCTGGAAAATAAAGAAATTAATCATGTCGACTTCCTGGCCGGCCGGCCGGCCGCCGTCTACTTTCCGCGCGGCAGATCCCGTGTCAACGAGCGGCGCTTCATGGTGTCGCTGGGGAAGAGCGCCCTCAACCAGAGCGATGCCCTCGAGCAGAAGTTCCGCGTGGACAAAATCATCCTGCACCCGGACTTCAACAACGAACTCGGAAACTACGACAACGACATCGGTAAGCCTCTCGCCGCGCACGCCGTTATTACCTACTGCGGCTTGATTAGTATGTCACATCCGACTTTGCAGCGCTGCTGAAGCTGAAGTCCAAAAAGGACGGCCGCTGCGCCCGGGACAGTGTGGGCGTGCGGCGGGTGTGCCTGCCCGGGGAGGGCCACAACCTCCCCGTGGGTTTCCCGTGCGAGATTGCGGGCTACGGCAAGGAGAAGCACGGCTTGTGGTACCACTCGCAGTTCCTGCGGCAGGCGCGGGTCAACCTGCTGGCCGCCGACGTGTGTGGCGCCGACGATTACTACGGCGACAAGATCACCAGCAACATGCTGTGCGCGGGCCGGGACGACTGGACGCAGGACGCCTGCGAGGTAAAGTTCCAAACGTCACGGACTCCCGAGATGGATTCTGACGTGTTTTGTTGCGTTCAGGGCGACTCGGGAGGTCCTCTGGTGTGCCAAGTGGACGGGCGTTTCGTGGCAGTGGGCGTGGTCAGCTGGGGCGAAGGCTGTGCCCGCGAGCGGCGGCCTGGCGTCTACGCCAAAGTCCACAACTACAGACAATGGATCCGGCAGCACACCGGCGTTTGACCACCGGGGCGGCGAGACACGCGGATGCTTTTCATTTAGGTTTTTTTTCAATATTTGTAAAAGGCGAGAGAGAAAACAGAGTTGTGTTCCTGGTGACAAAGTAAAATGTGTTTGTCTTTTTTTTTTTTTAATGACAAGAATTCAATTCCAAATGCATTTACTATTTTGAATGAATGAATCATACAGCACATTTTCGAGAATTTTTTTTTTTTTTTTTTTACACTGCTCAAATTCAAAAATAAAAAATTTGTAAGATTCAACAATGCTGATCATTTTGGTCGTCACGCACCAGTTGGACTGGAAGGACAGAGGACTGACAAACTCACATTGTCCACCAGAGGGCAGAGTTGTGCGCAACAAGCCCAATCGGATGTGAAAGCTTAGCAGTCAATGCTAATGAGCCCCGGTGTTGCAGTGCTGTAATATTTTACGCAACAGATTGAACAACAATGGTGCAGCAACACATCGGGACAAAGAATGTCACAATGGCTTTTCGGTTCATACAATGGGGAAAAAAAGATTGATTCTGATCGAATTCTATTATATTCATTGACGACTGTTTTATAATGAACAACGTTATACTGTGTTTTTTCTCTCTCTCATTAAAACACACGTTACAATTTTTGGGGGGTTTTGTTTTTTTTTGGGGTGGTGGTCCAGTTTGAATTTGGACATACTAATATGGACTTGAAAAGCTCCCTGATCAAAACTGGTTGAACCTGCATGTGCGTGAGTGTGTGAGTGCGCATGCGAACGAACCCGTCTGGGAAGTTTGGCACCTTTTGCGGTCGGCCGAGGCGTGTCCGGATAGTCACCACGCAGAACGCCGGGCAGCTTCGACAGACGCAGATTGTCGTGCGCGTGGGAGACTCACATCGTCTTTGCCAGTCGCTGTCGTCGTGTGACGCGAATCAAAGTGAGTAAATGGAATATTATTGATGACAGTGATGATCACGATGATGATGATGATGTCGATGACTTTAGGCCATCATGCCCGAGACGGCCGAGTCGCACGCCTTCCACCTGACCACCAACCGCAACTGCACCATGGAGGTGCTCAACCTCACCTCAATGTACTGCCTCACCAACCCCAAGTAAGTGTGTCGCCCTGAAAACGTCCCACGCAGCGCACGTATGATGATACTGCAAGCATGTCGCGCACACCGCTCTCAAACCTTTCCAAGTATTCGTGACAACGTAGTAGTTTCAGCCAGTACGGATTCTTGCATGTACGTTAGCGTTAAATCTCGCACGCAAGGCCGGACTGGCAAGTCAGATCGATTTTCGGGTTGGTTGGGGAAATCGGGGTGCAGAAATGCCGCGGCTGACGTGGCCGGTGTGCTGTCGCGCAGGGTGTACATGGAGAGCGGCTTCCCCTACAGCCCGCCGCAGCCCACCGTGCGCACGCAGCGCGGCGAGGTGTGCTCCTTCACCAAAGATGACAACACGGCCTCGGGCGCCGTGGGCGTGCTCACCTACGAGCTTTTCCACATGAACTCGAAGAAGTGCACCGAGATGATGGCCGTCATGTTCTCCGTGCCTTTCGACTACAACTTCTTCAAGAATTGGGTGGCCATCGGCGTCTTCCCCAAGACCACGCCCACCGACGAGAAGCTCTACAAGCTCATGTACAACGACAAGGGAAGCTTCGTGCGCCACAAGGCCGACGGCGGCGGCCTGGAGTACCAAGGCAACGACGTGGACCTGGCCGCCACCATGTCCGACGAAGGCCACGCCATCATCAAGTTGGAGATCCACGACAGGGGGAAATGATGCCGGCCGCCCTCGCCACTCTTGCCTCAATAAAAGCGGCGCCTCGCAGCCAAACAAACGTTTGACCTCTTCTCTTTTTTCACGCAACGACAAAAAAACAAAACAAAAAAAAAAACACAAAGCCTTTGCCCTCGACGGCACTGTTAACGTGCTTTCCCAACACGCATCATACACACAGCATGTGCAATACACACACAAGACATGCGTCAAACACACACACACATCACCCAAAAATATTGTGAAACACCTGAACCAAAACACACTAAATAGACAAAACATGCATCAAAAACACAAGACGCACACGAAGAGGGCTTCAAACACATGCTTTGAACACACAGAGCCTGCAGGTCTCTTGAGCAAAAACACATTCAAGACAAAACACACACACACACACACACACACACACACACACACACAAAAAAAAAGACAAATGCACGGACCAAATTAAACCCACAAAACAGGCCATCGACGTCAATGAAACGTGAAAGATAAAACATGCGCTAAGCACGCGTGACAGACTCCAAACTCGCAAACATGCATGAAACACGCAATCGAGAAACGTTCATCACGGCGAAACTAAGACAAAATAAGCACACGGGGCGCATTCAGCGCATACTCAAAACCCACAAAACATGCAATAAACATCCATTCACCCCATGAAACGCTCATGAGGAGCTCAGTCAGGGCTCGTTTTTTTTTCCCGCCCCAACCTGCCAAACTCATGCCCGCCTCGCATCTCCCTCTCAGCTATTGTTTTCCGATTTTTCTCAGACGGGAGTCTTTCAGCTGCACTTCCTTGTAGCTCCAAACACATCAATTCAAACAAAACACACATGACAAGACGTCGGATACAAGGAGTGTCCGGACTCGACAGGCAGTCAGTATGATGGAATGTCATCCGAGCTGGACGCACCCCAAGCGAGGTCTGGGTGACTTCCGTGCAAAAATGTCCCCCATCCGGTTGCGGGCCGGTCCGTTTGGGCACGGCGCTCCGGTCGAGCTGGACCTCGCCGATATGTCGCGAAGGTGCGGCGCTAACCGGAATGCCAGCCCAACCGGCAAAACCGCCAACACACAAAAGCCCGTCTGTGTTTACGAGCGCGGCGACGTTTGGTCCGACCGCGCCCCGCCGGTGGGCGGGGTCAAAGGCGGCCCCGCCGGCGGCGGAGAAGGCAGCGGCGGCGGCGAGCGTCCGCTCGGCAGTTCCCAAGCCAGCAAGCGCCCGTGCCGTCCTTCCAGGTAAGCGGCTTCGTCACCGCACGCGTACACTTTTTCCGCTGAGCCCGACGTCGCCGCCTGCGTTGACCCTTCGCACTCTCCGAAAGGTCATCATGTTGAGCTTTGTTAGCATCAACCTAGAAAGCACGAGTCGCTTCCGTTGCAGGCGACCTTGTGAAAGCGTCAATCAGCTGACTACTTTTTGCACTTGGTTGGGGGATCGAACACCGTCCCGGATGGTCTCGATTTTGACGCCACAAAACTTTCTTCGCTCGGCAGCCACTTTGCATTTTCTGAATTGTTCCGTTGGATCGCGGCGGCTCGGCGCTTTTGCTCAAACACGTTGAAGCGCTTGAGGAAGAAGTCAGATTTACGGGCGGGGCTGTCACGAGAATTCCACAAGCACCGATCTGGCGGTTCAGCCGGTTCTCTTCAACATGAGCGTCTCCTGAAAAGTGATTGAAAAAGCGTCCGACGGGAATCAATGTTTCTTCCTTTCCTTCCGGCTTGTCCCGTCACAAACATTCACTCGTTCGTTCGCTCGCCGTCTTGTGCAGAAGTCCCGATTACCGCCCATCCATGGAGTCCGCCGAGGCTTTGGCGGCCAACCAGAAGAGCCGCAGGAACGTCACCATCGAGATCACCAATCTGACCAACGGCTTTGTCCTCAGGCGCCCCAGGTAAGAGTCGCGCGGACGCATCGCCGAGCCTCGCGCGCCCGCCGCATCATGTCAGGACACAAACAACTTTGGAGACGTCACCTCGGCCCACCGTCCAGAGACCCCCGACCTAAGCCCTTGTGTCTTCCCAGGGTGCACCTAGAGAGCGGCGACTGCCACAGCCCCCCGCAGCCCACCGTGCGGCCCATGCGCACCGAAGTGTGCAACTTCAACAAGACGGACGCCGCCGCCTCGGGCGCGGTGGGGGTGCTCACCTATGAAATCCACGAGCGTGGGTCGGCCGCCGCCAAGCTGGCCATCATGTTCTCCGTGCCTTACGACTTCACCTTCTACAAGAGCTGGATGGGTGTGGGCATCTTCCCCACCGACCGCGAAACCGACGGCAAGCTCTACAAGGAGATGTATGAAAACAAGGAGCAGAGGGGCTTCGTGCGCCAGCTAGCCAACGGCAACGGCCTGACCTACGAGAGCGGCAAGATGGACGTCAAGGTCAACATGTCGCCCTTGGGCAGGGCCATCATGAAGGTGGAGCTGTGGGACTTGCACTTCCACCCCTGAGGGCCAACGCCGCAAAAGTGCGCAGAGGCCCCGCGGCCACCAGGTCAATTAAAAAAAATAATAATAATAATAAATTGCTCTTTTGTCTTGTTTTTTTTTGCTGGGTGCTCAGTTCAAAACATTAAACACACACACACACACACACACACACACACAAACAAACAACATATGAGCCGATCTGTAGTTTGTTGCCCCCTGGTGGGAAGTTACGGAAGTGCATCGAGAGCATTTTGTCTCTCCATCTATCTCGGGGCCACAAATTCAAATAAACATACAAAAAGCATGTCATGCCTGGGGCTACGATGGTCTCCTTTGTTTCGATGGGGGGGGGGGGGGAGATTAGATCAGGGGACGAAATGGATCAAGGGGCCCCCAATAGAACGGACAACATGATGCTGGATGGAGACGCCAGAATCTTCAGCTCGATATGCTTCATCGTGGGGATTGGGAAACGAGCGAGTGTGCTCCGGCGATCACCATGGAAACAGACTGTACGCAGGTGGCCACGATGGTCGCATGACAGGAAGTGGGCGTGTCATCAAGGAGGAAGCGCCATGGTGCATCGCAACAGGAAATTGGCAAAGGCACGGTAAGACTTTCGGGGCATCTGACTGTCATGCTCTCCTTTCATCTTTGTATTGACGCGACCCATCGGCAGGTGAGTTGTTGCTATCTGACTGTTTTTTTTTTTTTTTTGGGAGACATCCATCAGCTCCCTGTTAACCATCGACTTCCCGTTAGGCCTCATCCAGCCGTTCGCAACCAGTGTTTCAAAAATGATTGCAACCGAAAATATCGACGCCTTCCTACAATGATTTACAATTGCATTTAGAGGCCACAAGAGGCGGCAAGGCACTACCTTTGTCTAACTGAAGCTCTTAATTTACTTCAGTTTAATTCCTTGGTAACCGCTTTTTGTAGCCTTTTTCCTTTTTGGTGGGGGGTTGTGAGATTTTTTTTTTTTTTTCAAATGTGAACTCAAGATGGGGGAAACCCCGCCCTAATCTACCGTACACCTTTCACAGCCATGTCCATCATCGTGACCTTCGATTACGGCAATTATACGGACATACTGAACGACTCGCAGCCCAACATTTCGGTGTTCGTGGTGGACCCGGACACGGTTTCGTGCGAAGTGCGTCCGCTGGACTGGGCGTCGGCGGCGGCACTCAGCGCGCTCCTGGCCGTCATCTTCCTGCTGGCCATCCCCGGGAACCTCCTGGTGGCGCTGGTGATCGCGCGGGGCCGCCGCTTGTTGACGCCGTCCGACGTGTACCTGTTCCACCTGACGGTGGCGGACGGCCTCATGGCGCTGACCGTCCCCTTCTGGGCAGCGGCGCTGACCCGCGGCTGGATCTTCGGCGACTTCATGTGCAAAGCGCTCAGCCTGATCTTCGAGGCCAACTTCTACACCAGCGTGCTCTTCCTGGCGTGCATCAGCGTCGACCGCTACATGGCCATCGTGCACGCCAACCGGGTGCCGGGGCGGGCGCCGAAGCGGTGCAGCCGGCTGGTGTGCGGCGGCGTGTGGGCCCTGGGCACCGCCCTGGCGCTGCCGGCGCTCTTCAACGACGTGGCGCGGCCGGACCCGGACTCGGACAGGAAGACGTGCGCCGAAAGCTTCGATGTGGGCAGCGCCACCGCGTGGAGAGTGGCCACGCGCGCCCTCCGCCACATTTTGGGCTTCCTGGTCCCGCTGGGCGTCATGCTGGCGTGCTACGGCGTGACGGTGGCCCGGCTGCTGCGCACGCGCGGCTTCCACAAGCACCGCGCCATGCGGGTCATCACGGCCGTGGTGGCGGCCTTCCTGCTGTGCTGGATGCCGTACCACCTGGCCATGATGGCCGACACGCTCATGAGGGCCGACCTGGTCCTCTTCGACTGCGGAGCGCGGCGTTCGGTCAGCGTGGCGCTCGTCCTCAGCAACGGCCTGGCGCTGCTGCACAGCGGCATCAACCCGCTGCTCTACGCCTTCGTGGGGGAGAAGTTCCGCAGAAACGCCAAAGCGCTTCTTTGCAGGAAGGCCCGACAGGAGCGCGCGTCGGGCTCCAAGTTCAGCAGGTCCACGTCGCAGACGTCCGAGGGACAGGGCGCCGTTGCGTGAAAGACTCCGCCCCCGCCGCTTATCTGCCAGGCCTTTTTTTGTCCAAATGAAACTCAGACAGAAGCCATATAGAGGAAATGAATGCAAGATTCAGGAGAATAAAAGTTTGAAAAAGACATCTGGAAGTGAAATATCACAAGTCAAACATCTGGACTCCAAGACAACAATTCGAGGATGATTCACTCGTCGCGACTTCAAAGGAAAACTCCACTCAGAGATCACAAATCGGAAATGATGACTCAAAACTACCACAACACTCAAAAAACAACATTTAAAAATCAGGAATACAAAAAAAAAAAAAAACAGACCACTTCCAAAAACTACACCAAACCCATCAATCAAACAGCACAAGTCAAAAATGACTCAAAGGCCACAAATCAAAAATCAGGACTCAAAATTTCAGGAGCAAAATAATCCCTCAATATGATGAATCAACATTCATGTCTTAAAAACCCTCCAAAATCACAACTCAAATAAAAAAACTGCTCACCATGCAAAAATCTTGACTCAAAAGCCACAAATCAAAAACCGCCACGATTCAAAATTCACAACTGAAAAAAAAACCAAACGACTTGAAAACCACAAATTGCAAACCACGACTCCAACAGCACACAAATGAGAAGCCACAACCTAAAAAGCACCGCTGGAACATCACGATGACTCAAACGCCACCGCTGAAGAATGACCGACTCATGAACCCCGACTTCAAAATGGTGACCCCAAAAAAAGAGTGACCCGCCCTAAAAAAATTAGGTGTCACATTTTTTTTTTTTTAATCGCCTCTATGGCAGTGACATCGTTTTGCGCTCATCGATGCGCATTCGGCTCCGTGCGGCCGCTCCGCCGGGCGACGACGTAGACCAGCAGCGGGACGAGGGCAACGGGCGCCAGCGTGAGGCCCAGGACCAGGCGGCGGGGCGCGTCCTCCAGGTGACCCTCTTGCGGCGGCGGCGGGCAGGGCGCGAAATAGGCCGAGTGGACGCGCAGGAAGGCCGAGTGGGCGACGGCGTTGGGGTAGTAGCAGCCGCACCAGTGGGACAGCTCCTCCAGGCAGACGCTCAGCTCGTTGTAGGCACTGCGGGCGACACCCACCTCCGTGTCATTGGGGTCACGCTCCATGACATCACCTGCCCGGAGTCGGGAACGACCGCGTTTGGAATGGGTCGCTCAACCGCCTTCGGTCCGCTCTCTGCATATCCGAGTGATGACGACTCCCAGCGCGGCCTTCATCGGCTCACGTTGATGACATCATGACGTCTCTTCTTCTTACCCGATGATGTTGTCGAGCACGCAGCGAGCGTCCGCCTCCAGCGTCGCCATCTGCTGCTCAAACGGGGAAGCGCACAGGGCCACGCTCAACTCGGCCAAGGCGTCGGCGCGGCAACCGAGGCGGAGTGGCTCCAAGTCCTCAACTTCCTGAAAGCTCTCTACATACACATTCGTACAAACAAACAAACACGCACAAGCACACAAAACCACACACAGAGAAACACAAAACACAAACACACGTGCACAATCATGCACGAGGCACAAGTGACCTGTTTTGTTTTTTTTGTTTTTTGTCATAAACTGACTGACCGTCATCTTCGGTGATGACCTTTTCCTGCTCAAGTTCGTCCAGAACTCGAGTCAGCTCGTCCTCCGATAGGCTCCCTTTTTCCTTTCCCACCTGAGGCGCATCTGCGGCCCAAAAAAAAACAAAACACAAGTCCAAAAAATAACATCACTTGAAAAATCACAAGTCAAAAACCACAATTCAGAAAACCGAAGACTCGTGATGACTCGTGATGACTTCACATTTGTCGTTGACGACTCACTCGTGCTTGCGCGGTGCCAACCGCCGGACGGTTCCGAAAAGTTTTGGACAGTGGCTGGAAGGAGACATTGTGACCTCATGACCTCATCAGCCAATCAAAGAGAAGAAGAAAAAGTGCAAGATTTTACTTTGCTCCGGGACGCTTTCGTCAGTCGGCGGCGTCTGCTGCAGCGTGCGCGCGCACAGCAGACCTGCGATGACAACAAGTCAAGGCGACACAACGTCACCAAAATGGCAAATGGCGTCCGGCCGTACTTACCCGCGACGATAACCACCCCGAGTGACAACCGCGCCATCGAAACGCCAAACGAGCAAAACGTAAAGCGGGCAGTGGAGAGATCGGGTCGTCGTCTTCGGGCGATCGGCTGGGGACTGTGAAAGCATCCGGGGGGGGACGCCACAGCGCGGCGTGACAAGCCCTGCCCTCTCTGCTGAATATGGGTCCGCGTTTGTGTGGGAGTGTGTGTCTGTCTAAGTGTGTAGTATTTGTGTGCGCCCACATGCCTCCGTGTGGCATGAACGAGCACGAGTGAAGGGTTCGGCCCGGTTTATGAAAACAACAAGCACACAAAGTGTGCGTGTGGCGGACAAAGTGGCGTCGATGCGGGCGAAAGGGCGGCACCTCAACTTCCTGTTGGCACTCAGGGACCCCGAGAACCACTTGAGGGATTTCCTCCCTTGTTAAGAGACACGCTTGCCCAAACAGACGCACGCACGCACACAAACAGGAAGACGCACGCACACATACCGACTTGTTGCAGGATGCTAGCTCGGGGCTAATGGCAGCAGGAAGTGTCACGTTGGCCTCACGCCGAAAGATGACTTGGACGGTTTGAGGAAACTTCCTGTTGACCCGCGTCAACTTCGCGGCGAATCGAAAAGCGCACAATAAGCACACACCGAAGCAAAAGTTGCATTGCGATGTGGCTTTTTTTTTTTTTTTTTTTTTGTGGTCGAAAGCTGACTGGGTGTGACGACCTCAATGGCACATCTCAGATGTTTCGGTATATCTGGAGGTCAGAGTTCGGAGTAAGCCGCCACCTGTCAGGTCAGGAGGTCGACCGCGGGGCAGCCGCGTCCTGATTGGCTGACAGACTCCGACAAGATCGAAGATGACACCGCCGCCCTCGGCACAACTCGGCGAGACTGCAGACGGCAAGGTGAGAATTCATATCTGGCGAACGTGTTGGTTGGTATGCTCGACGTGACGGTTTTGGTAACGTGAAGGCGCACTTACGGCAGGATGTCGTCAGGCCTCGGCGACCGCGATTCCGACGCGTACGACTTTGCCGAGTACGCCAACTGGTCGCTGGAGGATTGGCGGCCGACGGAGGACGATTACGGCGACGGCGGCTCCGACTGGTGCGAGGCGGGCGAGCAGGAGTCGGCCATCAAGGTGCTCCAGACGTGTCTGTTCACCGTCATCTTCCTGTCGGGCGTGGCGGGAAACGTTTTGGTGATGGCCACCTTCGCGGCGTATCGCCACCGCCGACGCTCGGCGACAGACGCCTTCCTGTTCCAGCTGGCGCTGGCCGACCTGCTGCTGCTGCTGACGTTGCCGCTGCAGGCGGCCGACACCAACGTGGGTTGGATCTTCTCGGCGCCGGCGTGCAAGGCGGCCCGCGCCGTCTACGCCGTCAACACCTACGGCGGCCTGCTGCTCCTGGCGTGCATCGCCGTGGACCGCTACCTGGCCGTGGTACCGCGTCGGAAAACGCCGCGCCGCCGCGCTCGGACGGCGGCGTTTGCCAGGTCGGCGGCGGCGCCGGCCGTCTGGCTGGCGGCGTCGCTGCTCAGCCTGCCCGAGATCATCTTCTCCGACGTGGCCGGCTCCGGGGCCAACGCCTACTGCGGCACGCTGGCGAGCCCCCGGATCAAAATGGCCGCCAACGGCGCCGCCATCGCCGTCTTCGCTCTGTCCTTCCTGGTCATGGCGGCGTGCTACGGGGGCATCGCTCGCGTGCTGTGGGCAGGGGGCGGCGGGGGCGGGGCCAGGCGCCCCCGCCGCACGCTGAGGCTGATGGCGGCCCTGGTGGCGCTCTTCCTGCTCTTGCAGCTGCCCCACAGCGTGGTGCTGTCGGTCAAGATGGCGCGGCCCCTTTGCGCCCTGCTCCTGGAGTACGTCACGCGCAGCCTGGCGTACGCCCGCTGCTGTCTCAATCCCGTCACGTACGTCCTGGCGGGCCAGCGCTTCCGCCGGGACGCGCTTCGGCTCCTCCGTCGCCCGTGCCGGCCGGCCATTCGGGCCGACGGCGCCGCCTCGCAATCGTAATCTGATTCCAGGTGTTCTGATGCGATTCCATTCTGTCTGATTCTTTGATTGGTAATTGGTCGACACGTATTGGCGGGCAATCGATTTCGTGCGTGGCGATGTCATGCAATCAAGTCTGATTCTGCGCATTGTCATCCATGAACTGTCATCTGATTACATGTAACCTGACGCAATCGGAGTCCGTGCATTCGAGTCTGATTCCAAGTTTCACGCCAAACTTTGTTTCTTTTTTACTTCTTTTATTGCCACTTTCACGACAATTTATAAAAACTCTCGATGACACACTCATGTCTTGACATTACTCTGATTATTATTATTACAAGTCATCAGCGTGCACGTCTAGAGTTTGCATGCCACTCGGGTGTGATTTTTTTTTTTTTTCCTCCTAATTGCGATGATGGAGAACATCAAGTCCATGGAAGCTACGAGACGGTCGATGGTACGGGTGCGTGCGGCCCACGCGGGCGACTATTGGGAGATATCCGGGAAACGGGTAGAAAATGGCCGACAGAGCTTGATGGTCGTCAGAAAAAATAAAACATCTCTAAATCATAAAAAATAATAATTTACACGGTCGATGCGTCACGTACGTATAAAAATAGAAAACAAGTAGAAAACATAGATGGCATTTGTCTTCTTTTTTTTTGTACATCTTCAGAGCACGACAACATCGACACGTTCTAAAGTCTAAATCACCACCACCACCATCGCCTGTGATGTCATCGCCGGGAGATGTCATCACCTGTGATGTCATCACCCGCGATGTCATCTGCAACGAGTTGCGAGAGTTGGACACGCGACGAAAGAGAAGGGTTGAGGTTAAAGGTCAGCGGGTCATCATCGGCCGGCTGATCACGTGACTACAGATGAATTGTCATGCAAATGATTTTGAAACATCATCGTTGTCCGAGCTGATCCTGGGTCAGAAAAAAAGCGGGAATGGCCAAAGATGATCCTTTTGTGCTTACCGGTCATTTCCTGCTCGGAACGCGTGCAGGCGCAGATAAGACGAGCGAGGCCTTGCGCCTGTCAATCAGGGTCTTTTTTTTTCTTTCTTTTTGTTTTTTTCGGAAGTTGGAAGAATATGACGAAAGGTCAGAAGTAGATTATTGCACGTTAGCCATGAAGCTAATTCCAAACAAAGACGCAGAAGGAAAAAGGAGCCAGCTTGCTTGCAGAAGGCGAAGACGAAAAGCGGCGTCGGGTCGGCCGCCGTCGGCTTCTAGAAGTGGAATACCTGCTGCTGGCCGCCCGCCAGCGCTTGCACTTCCTCTTTGGACTTGCGCCCTCCTTGCTCCAGATGTTTGAGGCGGGCCGCCACCGTCGGACCTTTGACGGACACCGGCAAGCCGCCCACCACCTGGAGGGGGCGGGGCGAGAACTGAACCAGACACGTCATGAACATACGTCAGCATTTTTTTTTGGTTTTACAACTAAAAGCGGGTTCCCCCGAGACGGCGGGCGAACGCTACCTCCTTCTCGACGCCGTCGCCGTCGTCCCGAAGGCCCGGCGGCGTGGAGGCGGGACGGGGCGCGTCCGAGTGGGCGGTGCGCCTCAGCTTGACCAGCGCCGCGGGCAGCTCGCCGTCCTCCATCTTTCAACGCGGCGCAGACAACGGCGTCATCCAAAAGTTTCCGGGTGGCTCGCGAGCGGCCACGGACGGCCCGGCGCTCACCTTGTTGTTGTCGGCGATGCGGTTGGCGGCGAGCGCTGACGGGAAGCTCCGGCGAGGAGGGGGCGGCGGGGGCGGAGACTTGGACGGCTTGTCCGTGCGGCACCGGGACACGCCCGCGTCCACTGGGGACAGACAAACAGTCAACCGGTCGCCGGGCAACGTCAGCGCGCATCTGTTCCAGTGACGCAATTTGCATTTTGCCCACCCGAGCCTCGCTGGGAGGTGGAGCCCTCCATGCTGTTGAGCTTCTGCGCCGCCAGCTGCACTTTGCCCGGCGGCGGCGGCGACTCGGCAACCGCAGGGGCGGCCATCAGCGGTTTGGGGGGCACGGCGGGTTTGGTGACGGTCTTGGCGGCCAAGTCCAGGTCGGGGATGGCCTTGAGCAGCTCGGCCTGCGTCTCCTCCAGCAGGCGGTTGATGTCCTGGGCGCTGAACTGCGTCAGGCTCGCACGCTTTTCCGCCCAGTCGCGCTCGGCCGCCTGACACAAATCATCAGCACTTTTGTCATCACGGCTCTTTTAAATACAAGCCCTGCCACAAATCAAAAACTCCCTGGAAAAAAAAAAAAAAAAAGTTGACCTACCTTCTCCCATCCAGCCTTTTCTGTTACATCGCCTCGCTGGCAGTGAGTTTAAGACACCCGGTTTGCTCCCAGTGACTCACCAGAGTGACATCGGCGGACACGTGCACGTTGAGGCTCTTCTCAGCCGCAACGCGACTTCGGGCGCTCAGCGGAGGCGTCTTGTCCGGCTCGGGAGCGCAGACCGCCATCTTGCCGTCGCTCGTGTTGTCCGTCGGGCCGTGGGGAGAATTCCTCTGCGATTGGCCGCCCGCCTCCTCCTGCTCCTTCTCGCTGGCCTGCCTGCGCGAGGAGGAGGAGGAGGAGAGCGCACGTCAGGTGGAAGGGCGAGGGAGGAAAGGAGGGTAGGAAGGAAGGTTGGAGGAAAGGATGGAATGAGGAATGAGGGCAGGAGGTGGCGGACGCGCGCAGTCGCGCTTACCTCCGAAGCGTGCTGAGCGTTTCGCGGACGTTGTTGCAGCGCTGCAGCAGGGCCTCCAGACGATGAGGCTCCTCCTTCAGGAACTTCACCGCCTCCACCTCCACGCGCAGCACCACGCGCATCTTGCTCTGCAGGCCTGGGAACTGGCCTGGCGTGGAGGAGGAGGGGGGGGAGAACAAAAAAAGGAAAAAAGCAGGAAGAGGGGAAGAAGAAGACAATTTCACGCAGCGGTTTGAACTTGATGGGCCGACAAACTCCAGTACTGTCATGTACTTGAGTAGTCCCCCCTTGTACTCGAGTACTCACTCTTGAGGCTGCCGAGCGTGTCGGCCAGCGTTTTGAGTTCTTGCGTCTTCTGCCGGAGGTCCTGCTGGCTCACCGGGAGCCTCGCCACGTTCGACTTCTTCTGCAGGTCCTCCACCCACCGCTCCAAGTCGCTGGCATGCACCGGGCCAAAAGGTCAAAGGTCACCATCCCAAGGCGCAGGGAAGGGAAGGAGAGACGGAGCGACGGAGGCGGGGAGGAGGTGTACTGACTGCAGCTGGTGCACGAGCATCTCCTCCTGGTTGAGGTACTTGAGGCGTTCCTCCTCCACCAGGAGGCGCTGCCGCTGCAGGGGATCCTCTTGAGTGCGCGCCGCATCCTGCATCAGCACTCTAAGCTCCGCCTCCGTCTGCCTCAGCAGCGCCACCACACAATCCTGATTCTCCAGCTGATCACATTCACGCACGCGGCCGTTTTAGTAGGAACGCGTGCGCATGCCACACACACACACACACACACACACACACACACACACACACACACACACACACACCTGCGTGTTGCGCAGCTGCGAGAGTTGCGTACGCAGCGCATTGGTGCTTTGCTGCAGGCCCAGCAGGTGGCGCTGCATCTGCACGCGGGACACGGTCAGTGGCTGGTTGGTGTCGCCGGCGTTGGCGGACAGGGGTGGCGGCATCAGCGCCAGGGGGCCGGACGGCGTCACGGCTATGACAAATCATTGCGGTTTGACCAAGAAAAACTTTTGCACTCAGCTTTTCTTCATTTTGAATTCATGCGCAATGTATCGTGTCATTCGCGCACACGCAGACACAACTTCATATGCACATGCCAGTCTTGCGCACACACGCATGCACGCACGGACACTCAAGCTTGCCAAATGACAGTTGATATGTACCTTTCTTTACTTTTGCAGGTCCCGCTAGAACAAGAAGCATGAGCAGCAGTTACATGCTAGCAGCAGTTAGCGGTGTGTGTGTGTGCGCTTCACGTTATCTTTCGCAAGCTGGCAATGAGAAGCTACGCGTTAACGCTTACAAGCTAGCACTCAGAAGCTACACGCTAGCAGTCGGCGGCCACATGCGAGCGGTTCCGTTCAGGTTACTTACGATCTGTCCCTGAGCCGTCGCTGGCAGACTCCATTTGGTCCCTTCGGGAAAGCACAAGCGGGAAGAAGGCAAGGATGGAAGGATGGCAGCAGATACACGCGACAAGGAAGGAAGGAGGCCTTACGGGCTGTGGTCTTCGGGTGCTCTGCTGAGGACTCGCTGCAGCAGACCTGTCAGGCTGGCGATCTGCTTCTCCATCACCTCCATGCGCTCCCTTCACACCCGCGCACATCATCATAATCATCATGCCTGTCACCTTCCTGACCCTCTTCAAAGGACTTGACCTCACCTGGTTTCTGTCTCATCTGCTCTGACACTGCCCCCGTCTCCTCCTGCCGCCGCCGCCAACAGGCACAGCTGCTCCGAGGTCAGGCCCCGACCTCTCGGACTGTCGCCGCCAACGGACGACATCACCGAGTCTCGCCGCCGATCGCCCCTGGCAGGAGAGCCGCGGGACGGCAGGGTGCTGGCGTAGGCCTCGCGCGTATCGGGAATCTTCTGCGGCGAGGAGAGCGACGGCCCGCGCAGGCCCACGGCCAACATGGACGCCGCGTAGGTGTCGTTGTAAAGGGCGCCGCCCGCTCTGTAGAGGCCGCCGCCCTCCATCAGAGAACACACCGCCCCGCCAGGTCCTCGCCGGTATAAGGAGCCATACGGGTCGCTTCGGCCGGTAAGCGGCGATTGTGGCGCCCCGGCGAGGCCCAAGCGGGCGTCCACGCCGAGGGAGTAGGGGTCGGCGTAGATGCCGCCACCACCCCCGCGCTCGTCCGCCCGCAAAAGCACCACGCCGCGGGCCCCGCCCGCCTCGTCATCCGGCTTCACGTCGCGTCGTTCCAGGATGGCACTGGAGGAGGCGGCGAAGGCCGGCGGCGGCAGGGGCGGCGAGTGGTGTGCCAGCGACGCGCCGTGGTGCTGGGGCAGCGCCGGCCCGGCATACGAGGACGGACGGACGCCGCCGCCGCCGCTATAGAGGAGCCGCGTCCGCGACGGCGAACCCTGAGGTGGCGAGGACGAGGCGGAGCGATGCTGGGAGGACACGGCCGGCGCGCCCAAGCGCCGGCTGGGGGGCGAATCCTGGGGGGTGTACACCATCTCGCGCTAGAAGGACGTATCGGGGCAAATGGGATGGTCAGCGGACCTTCCGGAACATTCTCTTTCTTGTTGGCGATGCGATGGACGTCCAAGGGAGCGGCGTGCGGCGCACTCACCCGGAGGTCTCCGTTGGCCAGCAGGTGCGAGTTGTGGCGCTGGCCCGGGTACGTCCCGTAGACGGGCTCCTTGCAGTAGATTTTGATGACGCAGCGGTCCCGAACGTCCCGCGGGTCCTCCAGCTCGTAGAACACGTTACGGCTCTCGTCTTTGATCAGCAGGGCCGTGCTGGGAGACCTGAAAACCGCCAAACGCAATGCCCCGTCTTGGCAAACATTCACTCTTGATTAAGAGAAACGGGTGCAAACACGCACCGCCCGATCACTCCGACGGAATTGCCGACCGAGACCAGCAGGAAGCCCGAGCAAAACGTACCTGAGCGCGGCCATGCTGAGCCTCTGCGGGAACATGTGCACGATGAGCGCTCGCAGGGTGTCCAGGCTGCTCAGCTCGTGCGTCAGGTGCACGCGGCGGGTTTCCTCGCCCAGCTGGAGGAACAGCATACCTGCGCAGCATATGCCAAAATCAAGGAAATGATGAAGAAATGAAAGGAGTTTTGGCGAGACCCCACCTGGCGCGTGCAGCTTGGCCTGGCCGCCGGCAGACGATCGGGCCAGCGGGAGACTCTGGCGCAGTCGGTTCATGCGGCTGAAGGCCACGGGCAGGTCGCGATCGGACATCACGTCCAGATGATCGGCCGACGACAGGGAAAGTCCACCGCCCCGCGTCGGGCTCAGGCCGCTGGCGCGCGGCGTCCGACTCTGCCGCCGCCGCACCGCAAGCATTTTGGGTTACTCGCCAACCGAGACAACGCGCAATCGTTCACTCGTTTCCTACTCATAAATTCATGTTCGGGACCTGGATAGTGTCGCTAACGTCCACTGAAAATCCCTTTGAAGGGATTGGGACGTATCTCACTCCATAGGGAGTGCTGAAACGGTCTACTGGAAATCCAAAAAAACAAAAATTGGGTGCGTATGAATGAGTGAATGGTTTGAAACTCACACTCGTACGTGCGCACGCACACACACATCGCTGTTTGCCGCAGCGCAACGGGCAACGGATCGGCGCCGACAGTCAGAATGCGAGCCTCCGACTCGGGAATAGCGATTTACGAGGCGCCGCCCTATCAGTCGGCGAGCAGCAGCACGAGTCCCAAATCCTTCAGTCCCCGAGCCGGCTCACTGGGACCGAGATGTCCGGGTCGGCTCGTTCCCTGACAAAAAGTTCTTCCTGACTGCCGACGTTGCGAATGCGACTCAATGTCTTTGGAAACGGTCGTCGCTGCCTGCCCCTGGGGAACTATTTTTTTGTCCGTGATTTTCACGCGTGTTTGTTCATGTTGTGTGAGCGTTTGTCATGACTTAGCATTCGGAAATAATTGATTCTGTTTATGCGGATTTATTTTTGAGACAAACGTCACACGCCGCTGCGAGATATTTTCACGCTCACACACGTCTCGTCTCACAATTTCGCCTGTGGATAAACCATCCCTCCTGTGTCCGCGAGAGGGCAGTGTTGCTGCCCTCATTGAACGGGAACGACCAGCGGCTGACAAGTCAGGCAACAAAATGCGACGGTGATTTATTTCCCTCCAATTTGTTTTGCCTTCACGTGGAAGACGTTCGTCTGCTGTCGCATAGATTCGGGGAACCCAAAAACACAAGTGTAAAATAACAAATATATTTGAGGGAAGAATTTTGACACACGAATGGAGCAGAAAAAAAGGAAATCCTTTGCTCATTTGTGGTCACGCACGCTCATCCTGAGTGTGTGTGTGTGTGTGTGTGTGTGTGTTTCACCCTGGCAGACATCCTTCCAACTCGCCTGCACACCCGTTACCATGACAACAGCAGTCATGGTGCCATATTGTCAAGCAGAGTGAAGGATTAGCGTCACTCACTTCATGTCAAGTCATCAATTTGGTGTTCCCACACTATGTCGCACTTCATCTTTCGCACGCACCGCAGATTTTTACACAATAGTCCGTTTTTGAGGGTTCTCTCTCTCTCTCCGTCTCTTTTTTTTTTTTTTTTTTAACGGAGCTTAGTTGGGCACCTTCAGTGCAGTACCACGCCGAGCCACAACATGATTGGCAGCACTGAGTTCGACGCGAGACATGCAGCGTAATAAAGAGAAGAGGAAGAATTATTTTTTGTTTCAGTCAACTGTGTTGCCTTGCGAATACGGAAGCACGCAATTGATCGCACAATTATCATCATCATCATCGTTCTATTGAACGTCGTTCTCTGGCGCGGCAGCATCCGTCGGCGAAAGATAATCCACTTCAATCATACCATTCTCAAAAAGCATGTGAGCGTGTGATGCGGGGTCACCGTGGCAACAGAGACTTCTGCCGCGTCTTTGGCGTTTATTGGGGGTGGCGTGTGCACACGACTGGCGCAAATGTGATGAGGATGATGAACGACGAGGTACGATGGAGAGAGGAAGAAAGACGAGCGCTGCTGACCTTGAAGCTCCAGTAGTTAGCTTGTTGCTGTGGAACGAGAACAACAAAGAACACAACGTCAAAGACTCGCCACTGAGCTTGACTCAAGTCCAGCAGCGAGTCGGAGAGGCCTTCGGCGAGCCGTTGGAGCGTTGACGCGAAATCCTACGAGTTCGCCCAAGACAAATCAGCACAATGACGGCATCGTGCTGGTGAGTTTTCTGCACACTTGCCCAACTATTAGGACGCACGAGTAGAATGACTACAACAACCGGGAGATTAGTCAAACAGCTCGGACAAACTTGTAGAAGGACAAGGATGCACTAGTAGTATCGGTACTTAGTATCGGTGTGCAGCCAAGAGTGAATACTGGCAAAGAAAGGGTATTGAACACCCAAAGAAATCCAATCAGACCTTTGCTGACTTACATCAATCACCCAAAAGTGTCTCGTTTGCGTCGTGCACCGCTGAACATGCTGGCTTTGGCGTGCACGCCAGGAAGTGACATCATTGGCTTCCACACACACACACAACACACACAAGCGGCCATCTTTGTACACACCCTTCCTCTTCCTCTGCGGCCAAACCCACGTGCACCCGCACACGCACATCTTTTCTCTCAAGCGGGTTGTCCCGGCGCCAACATGCACACGCAGACCTGGCTGCACACGTGCGCTGTGTCCACACACACACACACACACACACACACACACACACACACACACACACACACACACACACTAATACATCATCAAGAGGATGGCGGCGGCGCCGCAGAGGAGCGTCCTTTCTCCTGAGAGGACGAAGGACGAGCGGAGACGGTTACCGTGGCTACTCAGTCTTCCTCCCTCTTCCTCCTCCTGGCGCTCCATTTTCCCCGAGACGCCCGCTGTGGGTTTCCCACGCCGGAGTCCCTGCTCGTCGCTACGGCGGCGACGGCGGCGATCTGCATCCTGCTCAACTCCCCCCCCCCACCCCCCCTCGCCACCCCTCCTCCATGCCCTCCCCATCCTCCTCTCTCGCTCTCTCCTGCGTCTCAGCTGACACCCCCCCGCCCCCGGCCGCCAATCGCGCAACGCCAACACGCCTTCCCGTAATGCCAATCGGGTAACGCCGGTCGCGTTACGGCAATCACACAACGCGCCTTCGTGTAACGCCAAACATGTCACGGCAATAACGTCAATCACGCAACGCCGGCGCAAAGTCACCAAACGGCAATTGCCAAAATCCCGTCATGGAAATGATGCAACAGCAATTTGTCTAACGCCAACGTGCTTTCCCGTAACGCTGACGACATCACACCACGAGCGTACCTGCCGTCCCCGAGCAGCGCCCCCTAGCGACATCTCGTTGTTGGCTTCCCTCCGCCGCTCCGCGTCGGCCTGGCGGACGCCGTTCAGGGCCTCCGGTCTGTCGGCCGCTGGGACGTCGCGACGCCGGTCCGGCGACGAGGACGCCGACCTCCCGTTGGCGGCGAAGCGCCGGCCTCCCCGGGATCCGGCCGGTGAGCGGCAGTCCCGCGGGAATTCGGCATCACTGGCGGAGATCATGGGATTCCTTCTCTTCTCTCGACCTGCGCGGGAGGCGAGAGGGCGACGCAACGCCGTCAGAGGCCACGCGAGGAGGCGGCCGAGATCTCGTCTACGGTACGTCGCTTATCGCTCACACCCACAGGAGACAGGTGTGTGGCACTGGTGTCCAACCGGCGGCCGAGGGCCAGATCCGGCCCGACACATCGCTTTAGGTGGCCCGCCGAGGCAAATCAGGTTTCTTGCTAAAAATCCATTCCGAGATTTTGAAACCTACTGGCAATGGTGAGAGCGAGCGACGTCTGCTCAGCATCACTCGTGTTTCACACTCACTCAAGGCCAAACGTCCGAGCGCGTGCTCGCGTGGGCGCGTGCGTGCGTGGCAGGTGCCATTAACTTGGTTTTATGGCTTCATCTGGCTGGCTGGCGGATGCACAAAATCATCCGCGCCGCGAGCGGGAGGAGGTCACGCGAATGTCCGAGTTTCCTCGAGCCGCAAACCTTTGCGTCTTGAGGCGCGAAACGTTCAGCGGGTGGAGGGCTCTCCGACCGGGGATCTTTGGCAACCAAGTACGTGCCTTGTTTGAAGAACATATTATGGGACTGGCGCGCCAATAAAACCTCTCATCGGGGCTGCCAATAAGAAACAAGAAAACAAGCCACGACAGCGCTTGTGGTGACGGGAACGCACGCTTTTTTTTTTTTTTAAATAAACAGCAATCACATGCCTTGATGCAACTCTAATCACGTGACGGCAAACATGCCTTGGGGTCATGCCTCTAAAGCAGCGCCCAAGCGCAATCGCGTAACACCAACATGGCTTCACGTTCGGCAATCCTGTCACACCAACGGACCTTGATGGAACACCGACACGCCTCGAACGCTCATCATGTCACCCCCAACATGCCATCATGTGACATCAAACAAGCCGTCATGTCAGCCAAACATAAAACACCAACGGGCCGTCACGTCATAGCATTTCTGTAACGCCGACGCTTCGCAAGGCGGCAATCGTGTCACGGCGACGCGTATGTTAACTCGATGGCGAAACGCACAGGCGGACTTGTGTGAAGGTTTGAGGGAAAGCTGACGGCACCCCCGGGTGGGGGTGGGGGGGGGGGGTACCTGGCACGCGTTGCAGAGCGGGCCGGCGCCCCCCGCTGGCCGAGCATCGTCTTCATATCTGGTGAGCCCTCTCCTCCTTCTCCACTCGGCTGTTCCTCCCTCCCTCCCTCCCTCGCTCGCTCACTCGCCTCTTTAATCCTCTCTGGCGGAGAATGAAGCGCTTCAATCTCTCGCTCCACTTTTCCACCTCCTCTATCTGGGTGCCGCACATGTGCCCCCTGTGAGATTGCCGCCTTGTGTGATGTCGCAATGCTCCCGGCTGCTTCCCTCTCGCTCGCTAGCGCGTACGGCGCCTTTCCAAAAAGGAGCTGGAGACGCCTCGTTTTGCGGAACGGACGTTAGCCAATCGGAGACACGAGAGCTGCGTCGTGTGCTCACAGGCGTTCCCGTTTTCAGCCGTGTGAATGCTTTCACAACTTTTCACCATGAACCTCATGCAAGTGCTCCAGGCAGCGTGACGTGACCTTCTCTTCAGTGTCGCACTTCATCCCGTTGGAACAAAAGTACCAAGAGTACTCAGTAGGGGGAAAAAGTCAATCACCCTCCATCACAGATTTGCGGTCCTACTAAGTCATGATTTTTTTTTTCTGTACTAACTTTGGTTTACGTTTGTGCTTGTGTGTGTGTGTGTGTGTGTGTGTGTGTTGGCCGCTAGATGATGGAACACGTATCTCATCACACACGCCGGTTTTTGGCTTTCGATGATTGAATGCGAAATCAATTCAAATCATCTCTCATCCTGCTTTTTATGCCTACGGAAAGAGACGACTGCATGCGGGTTCGTTTCGAGATGAGTCACGTGTCACTGAGATGAGTTTGTTGGTTGGGGGGGAAAAAAATCCAATTGCAGTCTATACGGTTTGAAAAAAAATCTTTGTCTCATCCATTGCTTTCGCTCTCTCAATGTGTTCAAACCTGTTTAGATGATTTTAAAAGTGTGACCTTAAAAATGGAAGCGCTGCTCTAAAAAGTCGGATATTTGTCTATTGCGGAGATGATCTGGAATGTGATTACCCCCACCGGTCGTGCCAAAGTACCAAAAGTAGCCTACTAGTCATCCTCATAGTACCGATAGCAGCCTCCAATGAGGAACATCAGGAAGATGCGCTGGCTCGCTTCCTTCTGTGTCGCAAAGGCCGCGCCGCCGCGGCAGCAACCGACAGACGGCGGAGACGCGCACGCGTGAGCGCGCGCGTGCGAGAGAGAGAGCCGGGGAAAGTCCAGAGCGGCGACAAAGTTAAGAATACCTGCGGCGGCTACATGCCTGGGAAGGACGAGTTGCCCATTCCGAGTGCGACGACGGCGCCTCCTCCTCCACCACCACCTCCTCCTCCTCCTCCCGGTCTCGTCCCCGTTCACGCCACCGCCGCGCTCCTCATCGTCTCGCCATCTCTGTGGCGCCGCTCGTGTGAGCCAGCGCGTCTGGCAAGACGGCGGACGCTGGATAAAGTCTTATTTTATGGATGCCCCCACCGCCCCCATTCCCGCAGCCTCTTAAAGGGGCGACACCACATCTGCACCAACTTTCATCTCAACACCAGCCTCATGTCCATGACACACAAGTCTACCTGTGTGTGTGAGAGTGTGTGTGTGTGTCTATGCAAAAAAACGTGTATTTGAATGTGTGCATTTTGTGTGTACTGTCTATGCACATTTGTGTGTGCATGCCCATGCGTGTTTATGTCTATGGCAGTTTGTGTTTGTACTTGTGCATGCACGTGTGCGTGCACGTGTGTGTGTTCAGGGAAATAGCGAGCGGAACGTTTTTTTGGGGGGCTTTCAGCGTTTGAAGTGCTTGCTGCATGCCGATAAATGAATCATGAATTCTAGCGAAAAAAAGAGAGAAAAAAACATGCACAGAGAGCGTGTTTTTGCGCCTGTGAAAGTTCTCACCTCCAGCTGCCAAAACATCTGCGGTGTCATCATGGCAGCTTTGCCGATTGGTGATTGACATCATAGGTCACGCGACAGGGGGGGGGAGGAAGTCGAAGTTGCACACAGCACCGTCAAGGGAAGTGGGGGCAATGGCCTGTTATGACAAGAGAGACTCCATCCAGGCAATGGAAGGTCACTTCCTGCTGGCCTGTCCCCACACACACACACACACACACACACACACACACACAAACACACACACTCTCTCTCTCAACATGGGCAAATGGACAACCTAGATTTTATCTGGAAGCCCATCAGTGACAACGACAAAGGATTGTCACGAGCGTCATGTGGGCACCTTTTTGAACTGATGAGGCATGCGACTCACCTTTCATATGAAACGTTTTATTTTACACGAAAAAGAGAAGCCTTACAAACCTCGTTCTGAATTTAAAAAAATGTCACGCTCAAATATTACAAATGTGCTAAAATGTACAAGATGTGGTGGGTGTGTGTGTATGTGGGGGGGGGGACAAGAGTGTGACATAGTACTTTCCTGTTCCGGTGGAGAAGGACAGCCATTTATGTTGGTCACATGACCCTGCACAGGCATGACCATCCGCCGACAGACATGCACACACGTGTCGCCGTCAGTCATTTTAAAATAAGGGCGGCCCTAAAACGGGGGCGTGGCCTCACGCAGCAGTTCACAGGTCAAAGTGCCACGCACACGCACGGGCGCTTGAGGCAGACGGGCAGGATGCCCTTGTTGATCTGGTGGAAGTCCACCAGCTGCAGGAGGTCGGTGAACACCGTCACGCCGTCGTCCATCGTCAGGTACTGCCGCCCGCCGTCCTCGCACTGGAAACACAAAGGCCGTCAGCGCGTGCGCACGAACACACGCACGCACGCACGCGGGAAGCGCTCACAGGGATGACCAGGAAGTGTTTGGTCTTCAGCTCGAAGCACAGCGACAACACGAAACACTGAGCGTGCCGCTGGCTCACTCGAATCAGGAATGTCCTGCACACACACACACACACACACACACACACACACACACACACACACACACACACACACACAGAGAGAGAGAGATTGTGTTATGTTGTGTGCGTTGGCACTCCTGAAGTAGGCCACGGTGATGCGGTTGCCATGGCGACCGCCGGGCTCACCCGTCAACCAGGCCCTGTTCCTCGATCAGCGTCTCCGCTCGCTTCCGGGACACGTTACCGTGGAACCATGCCTGGCCGGCGTGGAGCACTGCTGACAGGCCAACAAGATGATCAAGGTCGCCTTGCGCGCAAAGACTAACCACCAACGAGACGGCGGTGGCGACTTACGGGGCGGTCCTGAGGCTGAGCTTAAGTTGGGCAGACTGCAGCGCAGAGCTTCACGACGCTGACGAAAAAAAAAATAGATGAACCCCCCCCACCCCCCCCCCCCACACACACACACACACACACGTGCGCACACACACAAAAACAAGTCAGAGTGCAGTGATGACATCGCTGCTGATGGACCACGCCCCCTCACACATGATGAGCGGTAACGAGATGGTCCACCCCCCTCCTCACCCTCCGCGCTCGTCCCTCCTGCCACTCAGCGCACTCTGCCTCGCTCGGGTTCTCGATGACTCGACCGCCGGAGCTTCCGGAAAAGTCCATGGCCACCAGGTTGGCCTCCGACTTGGCCTGCAAGCACACGCGCATGAAAACAAGCAAACAAAAAGTGACCTTCATTGTGTGTCTTTGTGCTCACTTTGCCCTCCATCAGGTTGGTTCCTTCCAGGCCGCGATGGGTCCACTTGGACTGTTGGAAGTTACACTGCAGCTGCTTGCCATACTAACACACACACACACACACACACACACACATATTAAAACGGGTCAGACGTCAGAGAGACGATTGGTCAAAAGCAATCGAGTCCAACCTTAAACAATCGGAAGGCCGAGGTCCAGCAGGTTCTGGTCTGCTCGCTGTCAGCGCACAACATCTTCACATGGTGAAGGCGGACCGGACTTCCTGAGGACTGTGCGTGCACACACACATCCACAGAGTCATAGACAAAAAATTGCTCACACAAAGAAACACACACACACACACACACACACAGATGAGATGGCATCATCATCATCACATGGTGAAGTGCAAGCGTGGCAAAGGTCACCGACCGTGATGGCGAAGCAGAAGTTTTGGGGCGCGGCGTAAAGTTTCCGTGCGTTGACCACGTTGTAGACGTGAAGGTCGCGAAGGTCGGCCACGTACTGCAGGTGTCTCGGTTCCTTGGACGCGCCCTTGGTCGAGCAGTAAAGACCCGAGCGGCGCAGGAAGAAGTGCGCGCGCTTCCAAGATTTGCGCGTGCTGTCCTTGAGGTGGAGGAAGCCTTGGATCTCGGGACACGAGCCCGAATGGACCAAATCCTGAAGGCCCAATGGGAGATCGTCACTAACGCTCGCCTGCGGGATGCCAGTGTGGGACACTGTACTGGATGTTGTTTGTCATGTCTGTGTCACGAGCGTGCATACTGTGACCTGTACGAGCTGTTGCGATGTCATCGGTTTGCCGCCGTCCGCGCTGTCCGAGATCATGGCGTCCGGGAAGAAGAGCTGAGGGAAGGACGGCAACTCACAATGATGGTGTCACGGGTGCGCTGCGATAACACGTCACGGCGAGGAGGGCCTTCGTACCGCCGGCTTTCGGAAGAACTCATACTTGGCGTAATTCTTGCAGAAGACGAGCCGCGTCTCGGCCTTGACGGCCCAGCTGGCCTGAACCTCCAGCACCGCCTCGTGGTCCTCCAGGCACCTCTCTGGGAAGACACGTGCGGCTCGTTTCTGCGCTCGGTCGCCACCGCGTACGCGGGCGCGCGTGTTACCGAGGCCGAGCGCGGGATGGACCTCCATGAGGGCCCAGTGCTCCCGCTCGCTGCAGCCCCCCGTCGTCATCAGCATGCGACAGACGTCCATCGCCGTGGCGCCGTCGCTCACCCGAAGCGAGCGGCCGTGCTCGTCCTCGCCGAAAACCTTCAGCAGCTGACGCATGCCACAAAAACACAAAGCAAGTTACAATCTCGGGCTGTTCTGTTGCTGCATGTTTGTGCTCACTTTGCCTTCGTCCAGATTTTGAGGGCTCCATTTGCTCGGTTCCGAGGTACGCTTCTGACACTGCTGCTGCTGCTGCTGCAAACATGCACAAAACGTGTAAATCATGTAACTCGTGACTGTGTTTGGATGAATGATTTGGAGACAAAATCTCTCCCCAAAGCGAGAAGAGAGCGTTCAAACCAGCCCGACGAGAAAGTTTCCGCTTGCAAGAGGGCGTGGGGGGGAACGTGCATGCGAATGTTTGTAAATGCAAAAAAAAAAAACAACCGCCACAACCTGTCTGTTGTTCAATCATGACTCACAACTGGTCTTACGTCACCACCCCGTGAGTGAGAGACAATAGACGACGACTCACTCGTTTGTCGCCGGCTGCCAGCGAGGCCGTCGCCGAGGGGACGGGAGAGCGGGTGAGGCCGCACAACTCCGGGAACGGATTCGGGACGGGTGGAGCCGACGATGACAAACGCTCTCTCCAGTTGCTCCTGCAAGACAAACGCAAACATTCATGACAGGAAAGGTCGCCCAACTAACTCCTTGGGGTTGACAAACGCCTTCAAAACACACAACAATGGACTGGTCGCCGGTAAAAAAAAAATATTCTCGAAGGAGTTCACCATAGAGAAAATATCTGAACGTGGTTTTATGAACAACCAATCGCCACCAAAATTCATGTGCACATCTCCCTCATCAACCTCTGAAAATATCCTCAAAAATCGCCCCAATATTTTGGCTTTCACGCCATAAAATCCAAATTATCGAGGTGTTGTTTTTGACAGAAAACGGAGAGGAAACCGAGTGGCAGAGTGCGCGCTGGTGACGTCATGACGCACCTGCTGGTTACGAACGCCCCGCCGGCGATGTTGATTGGCTGCGAGCGGTGCGCTTCTGGCCGGGTGACGTCGTCCTCTAAACTTTCCTTTCGCGACATCGTAAAAGCACCACAAGCGTTTCGCTCGTCTTTCCGTTTCTCCGGGTTTTTTTCCCTTTTCCACGGACGGCCGCCCCTCGCTTGGCGCCGATCCTTTCACGTCACGTCACGTGAGCCGCGAGCAACACAACGCACAGCCGACCAGCTTGACGGCGTTTTGTCTCAGGTGTGTCGCGCACCTGCGCCCCCGCTCAGCTGTCGCTCATCATGGCGACGATGACGTCAGCGGTCGTCGACACCTTTGGCGGGTCGGCTGCAGGGGGAGGAGCCACACGCGGCCAGGTAAGCGCCTGACGTGCAGGTCAATTGCGCACCTGCGGGTCAGCCGACCTCCCCACCCAAAGGAAAATAATAAAAACAACCGATTTGTATTTTAATCTAAATGCGAAGCCATTAAAACGGAATCAAGCAGCTGTTATAGGACATGTGAATTACAATTAAATTCTAAAAATGACTCCACACGTGTTGTCATCTGCAGATGAAAATTTAAACTACAAAAAAAAAAACGAAGCAACTTTTATGAACATTCCCAATCATTTAATTAAAACTAGCGATTGTGGAGCACTGAACAATTTCAGGTAAAATGATCTTGCTGTACAAATAGTGAGATGGAAGTCATAAAAAAATAATCAAATGGTGACTGTCGTACAAATGGACTTTATCAAAATTAAAATGTGAATGACTGTCATATCAATGAACTTTGTCAGAACGAAGAAAAAAAATGAAGCTTTCGTGTGTTTGACATACAAAGACTGTTTATTTGAATAAAGTCTATAATAAAGTCTAAAGAATATGATTTTGGAGGAATCAAATGAATGACGGTTGTACAATCAATATTGTAATTAAATATAAATAATTATGGAATTAGTTTGAAACGTAAGTAATTTTACAAACGAGTTTTAACAGATTAAAAGAATTATTTAAAATTGTACATATGTCCATGAAAAAGTAATTTCGGTCTACTAATGACTTTGTTGCAAATACTTTATTATCATGAACTTTATTTAAAACGTTAGAATCAAACAAATGACTCTGACCAATGAGCATTTAAATGAAAAGTGATTCAAAAACGTAATTAAGACACAAATCAAGTTTGAAACTCAGGTGAACTGACAAAGCTGAGTGTTGTACAAATAAACATTTATTCTGATGAAAACTGATCCAAAGAGAAATGCAAAACGCGGACTGTGTCCAAATGAACTTTTCCAATCTTGTTGACGCTTCTTTGGCGCCACCCGGTGGCCCAGTTGGGTACACAACCCGTTCGAATTGCGTTAGCGGTGCGTGCGACGTCATGGCGCGTTTCTTTTCTTTTCTTGGATCAAATCAGGTTTTTATTTTCCTTTCATGTGTTGAGAAAAGCCCACACAAACAGTTTCAACATTTACAATCATTGCAACGGGCGAGGGACGTTACGAGCAGCCCTCCGACGACACCCCCCCCTGCCGCCCGCTGACTCGGTGCCCATCCGGAGCAGCCGTCTCGTTGGGTGCCAAAATCCTTCATCCGGACCAAATGGCGACTGCCAGCGACCTGAAAAGTTGCTGGCTGGTGGACATTTTTTTTCTTTCCTTTCCTTTTTGTTTGTTGGAGTCAAAACAGCTGGGATGCTTTTGGTTGGTTGCGCGGTCAAAAGTACAAGTAGAATCGCGTGACAGGAAGAACGAGAAGAACGACAAGAAGAAAAAGAAAAAGTTGGTTTGAAATGTTGACAATGAAGCTCGTCACACAGTCTTGTGGACTCCTCCCACAAACGCGCCTTGTGCTGGGGTGGGGTGGGGCCAAGGGGCTGATTCCAGAGACAGCATGATTTTCATGGGTGACAGCACGGGGAGCGGGCGTGTGAACTCTGACCTGATACAGGTTAAATGCTTCTTACAGGAATGAAATGACATCTAGCAATCAGGCGTTTAATAAAGTGAAGGGGGGCCGGGTATTGAAAACCATGCTTCCTCTGGGAAGGGGAAGGGGGTGGTGGGGTGTGCGTGCAGACTGAGAGGGAGATTGGGGTGTGAAAGGACACCATTGTTACTCCCATCCCAGCCCACAGCGGACCCCCGTAACAAGTGTGGGGCGGGGGGATTGCAGGTGGGGGCTGGGCGGGGGTCAGACGGAGCAAGGGAGTGGGGGCGCCGGCGCGGTGTGCGGAAAGAGAACAAAGAAACAAGAAAAGGAGCGCTCATTTCTGGTTCTTGAGCTGGTTGGAAAGCCAGTCGAGGCCCTCGTAGAGGCCGTCGCCGCTGGTGGCGCACGTGGCCTGGATGTACCAGTTGCGCTGGCGCAGCGAGTGCAGGCCCAGCTTGTCCGTGATCTCGGCGGCGTTCATAGCGTTAGGCAGGTCCTGCGGGGGGAAAGGCGCACAGCGTCATGCTTCGTCGGCGTGAGCACCCGCCACTCAACATTTACGCAGAGTCGACCGCCAGGGGGCCAACACACACTTTAGCCCAAACCTCACTGAGCCCGAATGTTAGTTTCTCGTGAGGGTTCGTTCAACGGCGCAAACGGTTGCGAAGACTTTCACCAGACTTCCCCTCAACACTGAACGGTCGCAAACAGCTTTTCTTGTCGCCCCAAGTGGCGATGAGAAAAACTTTGCGATGGTTACGACTGTTGGTGAATGTCTTGACAGCCCTCTGCGACCTTGAACAAACCCTGACCCCCCCCCGCAAAAAAACAGAAAAAAAAAAAGAAGCTGCCGTGCAGGAGTCCAAAGTCAAAGTCAGTCGGCCTTGTTGGGGGCAGACCGTCGTTTCAAGAGGCAAAGGACAGCAAAACGTTGTTTCAGCCTGTCCCAGGTTAGGTGCATCAATAATATATCCATTGTGAAACACCATAGAAATCTGAGGCATTGATTATTATTAAACATTTTGACAATGGCCTCGTGACACGAAATTGTCCAAATGATGACATTTTCAGCCAAACTATTATCCTCCATGAATGCAGACTGGTTTTCAAAATAAGACATCTACTTTTACTTTGAAATCAACGTTTTGGTTCCAGACCAAAACCCCAACTCAATTAAAATCAATTGATCTTTGTGCATTTTCCAAATTGCCAATTTGAAAGGATGTCCCGTTTTGGCTGAAAGGGCGATCACCTTTGATCAGATGTCTGGAAAAATGATCAACAGCTACAAATAATTGTCAGTTGCCACCCTGCAAATTCGAGCATTCAAGTGGCTACATTGGCAGCCGCGTGCATACCTGTTTGTTGGCGAAAACCAGCAGAACGGCTTCTCGGAGCTCGTCCTCAGACAGCATTCTCGCCAGCTCCTCGCGGGCCTCGTTTACGCGCTCCCGGTCGTTGCTGTCCACCACGAAGATCAGACCTGCGCACGCACACACACACGTACGTCAGTATGCGCACACATTGACGCAGGCACACTACCGGCTAGCTGACCTTGGGTATTCTGGAAGTAGTGGCGCCACAGCGGGCGGATTTTGTCCTGGCCGCCCACGTCCCACACGGTAAAACTGATGTTCTTGTATTCAACCGTCTCCACGTTGAAACCTGCAGGAGAGAGGACAACATTTGGACGTTGATAATGTGACAAATCATGTACGCACGCACGCTTGTTCAAGGTTGCAGTATCTGATCAGAAATGACATTTCTTTCATTTTCATTTTAGAAACGAAACCTTTACGTGATTTTTCATGAACACTTGTGCCCACTGCTTGAGTCACTTTTCTTTGTGTTGGCCATTCAGGTGTGACTTGGCCAGCTAACATGTTTGTACAACGTTGGACAATGGCTGTGAAGAGTTCAAGCACAAAAGCTGACATCTCCATTTTGACAGTTGAATAAAAGGAGTGTTTTGCAAACTGCTATCCAGGTTAAAGCTAAGCTTTTTTTTTTGGGGGGGGGGCTATTCCGCAGTAATCCATTCATCAATCGCTTTCACAAAACAGAAGCGTAAGTTCCTCGACGGAGAGACGTACCGATGGTGGGAATGGTGGTGACAATTTCTCCGAGCTTGAGCTTGTAAAGAATGGTAGTCTTCCCTGCAGCATCCAGGCCTACCATTAGGATCCTCATCTCCTTCTTGCCAAAGAGGCCTTTGAAGAGGCCAGTAAAGATGTTCCCCATGGTGACGACGCTGCTGGAAGGAGGAGAACCACATTAGTGGAGGAGGCTCACAAGACGGCAAAGGGGAGTGCATTCATCTATGGCGTGTTACAATCTCCACTCTTTTGGGGAGCGATTGTTTGGTTCTGTGCACGTCCGCTGCCTGGCAGTCACCTGTCATCGCGCTGGCAGTCGCAAAGTGCCCACTCGCTCAACAAGCCGCATTGTTCATCATGCATTTGTCCGTGCCGTGGGCGTTGGCACGTCACGCGTTTCCACGCGCCACTTGTGCCGTTTAAGTCAAACATTTAGTCGTTGCCGTTCGAAGTGAAGCCGAGCTAATCACTCGGGCGGCCCGCTGCTCCACTACCAACCCTTGAACGTCACCAAACGGCCCGCAAACAGCGCACAGTTCCAAACGAAGTCCCAAACAGAGGGCTCCCCTTTTACCGCAACCGGGGCAACGGTCAAATCACTGCCGGAGATCCGTGTCTTTGGATAGGATTTTGAAAGGAACTAGTTGTTGGGAGCTAGCGCCGTTATCGTTAGCTTCGCTTAGGGCGGATACGTTAGCTGTTAGCGTTAGCTGTGCGGACGTCATCTCTCACACACACACACAATCACCTCTAAAAAGCGCTGCGCTGTGTAATGGTAATTGATGAGTTTATTGGGAATGTTTAATACAAGAACCAGTGGATTAATCTAACCGATTGGGGGTCGGGGGCTCCAACTTCCGAGAGGAGCCTTTCCCAATCGGCCCGTCAGGAGAATCTCAAGGCTAGCTTAGCCGCTAAATGCCGCGTCACAGCACAGGGGAGGCGAACGTCAGCTCGCGCTCAAGCCTCGAGGGTTAAAACGCTGCGTTCGGATGTGTCGACGCGTCTTCCCGTAGCGGACGGAGTGTTGGGGAGCCGCCGTCGGCGACAGGTGCGAGTTTACCTTTTTGACGAGCTTTTGGTTCTCTACCGTTAGGGTGGCCGTCACTCCAAAATGGCGTCTTGCGCAAGCGACGAGACGCCGGTGCTTCGCCGCGTCCTACTATCAGATGGCAACCAATCGAAACGCGCCTACTCTCGCGTTTGTCCCACCTTCTCCACGCTGTCCTCCAATCGAAGCGCGCCCGCCCGGGCGACGTACGGAACTTTGCACAAAATGTCGCGGAAGTGCACCCCCCACCCAAAAAAAAACACAATTCTTGACACTTTCGTTCGGCGTGACAGCACAAAAAACAACTCACACTAGCTAATTTGACTGCTGAAAGACTTTCAATTTCCTGTATGTCAGCAAAAGTAAAAAGTACAAACTCTGAAATGTACAAAGTACAAAAGTCAATATAATTGTTTACTATTAAGAGGGTGATGCGCAAGCAACTTCCGCATTGGGCAAACAGGTCGAAGCACATCTTTCCGGTTCCGCTGACTGGCCGAACCCTATGGCAGACACTCGGGGAAAAACCACTGTAGAAATATGCAAACATTTACACTTTGATTTACGCTCTGAGCTCGCACTGTCTTACTCCAACTTTTTGGAAACTCAGTGAATTGTGCCAATCATTCAGTCATTCAGAGTGCACCAAAAACGGAGTGCTAGTGTGCGCTCGACGCGCTCCAATTGGGGACAAAAGACGCACTCCAATTGGGGACGCAGTGCGTCAGTTCAAGCAGAGGTCGGCGGATGTCATTAATGTTTGTCAACTGTGGCCCTATGCAGTTCTTTGAGAGTCTTTTGGCTTGAGTGTGTGCGGAAATAAATAAAATTGACTTGAACTATTCTTTCAACACATGAAAAATCGTATTCTGGGGGGCCTACTCCCCAAACCGTTTCCATTTTGGCTCATGCGTGTGTCCTGATGATGTATACGTGCACCACCTTATGTCTTTTAGTGACCCCCAACACATCCCGCTAAAGTTCACTCAGTAGCGCCACTTGAAAGGTTTGAAAAATGATGCACTTTCACCTTGTCCCATTGGCTAGCGGGGACATTGCAATTAACAGAAGGTTAATTTTTTTTCTTGTTTTAATCTTTGTAAAAGACATTGATCCCCCAAAGTCCAAACATACTTTAGTCACTCTCGCAGACACAAAAAGTAATTTGCTCTTTTAAAACACTTGAATTGTTATGACAAGAAAGTCCCTAGCATTTTAATTTATAATAATTAAACAGTAGTTTAAAATGTGATGTGCCTTTACAAATACCCTGTAGTACATTTGCATATTGAATGTCACAAGCTAAATGCATCAGATGTTAGCTTGTTGCTAGGCTTCTAGCACACAGCCTTTCAACATGAAAAACAAAAATCGTCCTCTTTTGATGTTTGGTGTAGCTAAGGAAGTTAGCATTTGCTCCTTTCCTGCCGTAGCGGCAGGCAGCCCAACGAGACGCCACCCTCAGTCGGTCCAGAGTGAAACATCAGGCTCCTTCCGACAAGTCTGGGTCATTGGCGGACTTCCAGTTTGCCATCTCGAACTCGCCACATCCATCGTGGGCATGAGTCGGGCGCTTCCACGCAACGAAGCCACAGACAAGACTCGCGGATCTCCTGCCTGAAGCAGACCGACTTCCTGTCCAGCGTCTCCAAGGTAAAGGCACTTGTTGACATCTGATTGGGAGACAGGAAGTGATGCCACCTTCCACATCACGGTGTCAGACTGTTCCCGATAGAAGTACAGCAAAGCCCCGTAAAAGGGGACAAGTGAATGTGGCCATCACCTGCTCGCTGATTCCGATGGCCACGTGTCCCACTCGGGCCTGCGGCCGTTCCCGAATTCTCACGCGCCGACCCCGAGCGTCCTCAATCCAAATGTCCACGCCTGACGGGGTCAAATGGACCAAACGTGATGCTCAAGCCGCTCTCTGCTGCGGCCGCTGCGTGCCGTTCTTGCGGCATTACCTTCAAAGCGGCGGGAGGGGGGGCCCCGTGCCCAGGCTGAACTCTCCGCGTGACCCCCGCTGGAGGAGAAGATCCCGGAGCTCAGGTCGTCCGACGAGCACTCAGAGTCCTGGGTGAATGGGGGCCGGGGGGATGAATTATCCACAATGAAATGGATCCACTCGGACACGCACACACACGCGTACCTTTTGTGAGACTTGTGACGAGCTGCTGAAGCAGGAGGGGGGGTCATCTCGCGGCTCAGGGGACGGGGTCAGCATGCCGGCATGACTGAGGGCCACGCCTAGCCAACAATACAGGAGCCTTTCAGTAGTGTGTGAGCACAAAATGCATTGGAATCGTGTGTGTGTGAGTTTGAACAGAGTAAATACCTGGGAGGTGCTGCACCTCGCCGTCCGAGTCCCCTGCCACCTGGCCCCTCCGCAAAACCGGGAAAACATCCATCAGGGCTCGGAGGTATTGTGTCGATGCTTCATCCTCGTCCTCCTCCTCGTCATCCTCATCCTCACAGTCCCCCTCGTAGTCACCGTCCTCTTCCCCCACATAAATGTCCAAATCCGAATCGGAATCGGAGTCTGAGTCCGAGTCTGAGTCCCAGGCGGTCTCATCCCGCAGAGACGTGGGCTGGCCTTCCCGCTCCAGAGCGAGCGAGTCGTCGTCCTCTGAATTGTCCTCGTCCTCGAGGGCCGCTGCCGTCCGCCAGGGGCTCACCCAGCGCATGGCGGGAGAAAGGGCGCCGGGCGCGGTTTGGGACGTCTTCAGTTTGTCACGGGCCATTTCCAGCGAGGCGGCGCTCACGCCGCCGACTGCTCGGCCAAGGAGACGGTGTGGTCACATGATATGTTTCGGTAACAGGGTTAGCTTGAAATGCACGACTGCGGCGCTAACATGGGAACCCCCCCCCCCCCACACACACACACACACACACACACACACAGAGGGCGACTGGACCGTAAAATGGTGCTGACGTTGCTCGCTTGACACACACACACACACACACTCTTTCCCCTTGTCACAGCGGGGCATGAGTCTGGCAATTAAAGTGAGGATGACATCTTTCATGGTGTATTCATCATGTCGCTTCGCTACAAGGTGACTCTCCTTTTTATATACACGTGCACGCACATACACACACACACACACACACACACACACACACACACACACACTAGACATGGACAGGTG